CAAAAGGTAAACTTTTATGTTACAGGAGAAATTATTTGACCAATGACATTCTTTAAAAAGCTGACTTCCTAATATACTACTTAGCAAGTATTTTTAGAATTATTTCACACACATACTTTATCTCCAATTAGTCTACATTTTTAAATTCTCTCTCTATTTTTTATCTCCCCACAGAGTTTAATAAACATTTGTCAGACTGACTAGTTCAGAATTACTTCTCAAAATTACTACTAAGGAAATGAGAAACACTTAAAAGCCAAGATTTGTACTTAAGCTAGAATTTTCAACATTACTTTCACTCCAGTCTTTTAGTTATACCTTATATGGCATTCACCTAGAAGATTTATAAACAAAAAAAGAAAACTACTGTTAAATTTTACTAAAAATATAGAAGCAAAATTGCTAAACAAATCCAAGTTGAATTCAACTACAGATGGTTCCCAACTTACAATGGTTCCACTTAGGATTTTTCCATTTCATGATGGTGTGAAGAGCAATACACATTCAGTAGAAAGTGTACTTGAAATTTTAAATTTTGACCTTTTCCCTGGCTAGCCATATGCAGTACGATCCTCTCTCATGATACTGGGAGAGGCAGCAAGCCACAACTCCCAGTCAGCCACACGATCGTGAGGATCAACAACCAATACACTCACAACCATTCTGTACCCATATGACCATTCTGTTTCAGTAAAGTATTCAATAAATTACATGATGTATTCAACATTTTATTGTAAAGTAGGTCTGTGTTGGAGGATTTTGCCCAACTGTAGGCTAACATAGTTGTTCTAAACATATTTAAAATAGGCTGGGCTAAGCTGTGGTATTCTGCAGATTAGATATATTAAATACATTTTTGACTTAATGATACTTTCAACTTATGATGGGTTTATCAGGATGTAACCCTATTGTAAGTCAAGGAAGATCTATATAAAGTAAGTAAATGAGCTTTGTATCAGTTTACTACAATACTACACCTCAATCTAAAGTGTATTAAAAGAATAACTGCTCTAATAGGAATTCATTTATTTAATGGTCGTTGCCCTTTGTAACGCAAAGATTGTTTATCATTTAGACATATATAAGCATAATTTATCAATATAACTGAGGGAAAAAATGCTACTTTATCATCTTGATAAATGATAAAAGCTATTGCACAAAACAAAGTTTAAAAGGAAACATCATTTAAAAACGCAATTAGTTAAAGCAGATTTCTGTGCACCCCATCTAAAAATCAAATGTGACTCACATAGGGGTGGTTATAAAATGTCTGCACATTAAACCTCATTTTGTAGAGAAATATTCATGACAAAGAGAGAAGTCACCCATTATAATTAATAAAATTGGCAGTCTGCATTTGGTAGACATACTGAAAATAACAAACATCCAAAGATGTTGTTTTTAAAAGAATCTGGTAATTACTGAAACAACTAAAATAATGGAAACTAAGAAGTATGAAAGAAATGTGAACCCCTGAAACAGGAACACTGTTAATACCACCATTTATCCAATATTTTAAGAGAACCACACAGATAATGAATGGCAGTGCCAAAATTCAACCCCATATCTCCAAAAGTGTTCCAAGTCTAGACAAAAAACTAGACTTGGAACAAAAACATGTAATATTAAAACCTTTTATAAGTAGTTCTTTCTGTATCATTTGAAATCTAATTCCTGGGATGTCTAAATTGTTAGTTAATATATTAAGAGATTATTTCTCTAATCTCAATAAGTTGTGAAATATCTTTTAAAGTTTTAATAAATTTATGCATCTTTTTAAAAAATCTTTAACACTTAAAAAGAAAAATTCACATATTCATTCCAACAGCTTTATCAGGCTTGGCTGACCAATAAGTTACACACACACTCAGGCACTTAGAAGGTCATTGAATGGCTCTTTAACTGAACGAGTCAGGGCAAAGTGGCCACATTCCCACAACTGGACTCCAAGTTCATTTTCCACAAGGACACCTTACTCAAAACAGGCTGTGGGGCCTCTGCAGTTGAACCTTGCCCCTGGATTATGAGACCAGTGAAGTTAGCATAATTCTCATGGCTACTTTGACTTCAGAGTATCTTATTTACTGAAGTGGAACTTTCTGAATGGAGAGACTGAGTTACTGCCCGCTCAGTAAAATATACATATAAAATTTTCAGTAACATTCTAGATTCAGGCAGTCAGTCAACAGTAAAATACATGCCAGTAGCCTGTTCTTGACAGATTATACAGCAGCCCTGGTCAAGAATTTCTTTCCCTACAAGAGTCTTAAGATTGTTTGCTAGTTGATGCTTTGTTTTTTGGCTATTTGCTGGTTTTGATGAATTTGCTGTGATCCAGTTCAATTATTTTTTTAGAGTCATCCTACAGCTGGGGATACACTTCAACAGTCTTAAAAGGGGGTCCCTGGCTCTCCCCAGTACAAAGGAGGGCGGTGATTCTCTTGGATGATGCCCCATGTAGTGACCACCCTAATTCTGCAACCTTAAACTCTCCAGCTGATCCTAGGAGCAGCTTCTCTGACTCAGTGTCTCTATAAACTCTCTGAATGGCAGTAAAAAGGGCTTGCTCCTTCTTAGGATGGAGAGAAAAATGATAAGCCTCTTACAGAATCTCTGTCTTCAGTATGCCACCATGTTCGCAAGATCCAAAAGCCCCTCTAGCAGATCATCCGGGGCTAGGGAAGGATGTGGAAGTCACCTTTGCAATCCTGCCCAGTGTAGCCTGATGAAAGCATCTAGCTATCTGAAGGTTAAGACAGACACACTAAGAGAGCTAGGGCATTAGAATAAGCCTGAGGTTGGATCAAGGAAGTCACCTTTGCAATCCTGCCCACTGTAGATTGATGAAAGCATCTAGCTATCTGAAGGTTAAGACAGACATGCTAAGAGAGCTAGGGCATTAGAATAAGCCTGAGGTTGGATCAAGGATAGAACGGAAAATCAGAACTAGAAACTGTGACTAGAAGCTATGACTACAGGTGGGCAGCAGCATGATTCCCAAAAAGCCAGGTAAGATGAGCCATAATATCACAGACTTGAGAATACCTGACCCCACTTTCAGTGGGCTTCCCTTGCACCTAGAATCCATCTTATGAAGTGAGACAGAAAAGAGACACACCTCAAAAGAGGAGAGAGAATGCACCACTGGGGAGTTGAATTTACACAGCATGATCACTGTATAGAGGGATGAGACTGTCCCTACAGTATGGGCCAGAAAACCCAGTCATAAAATCTTGATTCTCACTTTTGTTAACTTGTTTCACTTCCATTTTTCCTAACTCAATAAAATGGCATCATTCTTGATTCAAAAATCTAAAAGTCATCATTGATTCATCTTTTTTTATCCCCACAGCTAGTGTATCTCCAAGTTCTGTCAACTCTCCTTCCTAGATGTAGAAAAAAGCTACCCATTTCTCTCCTCCATTGCCAGTAACATCTATTGCCCAGACTATTAAAATAAGCTCCTAGCTAGTATTCCTGCTAACAGTTTTGCCATCTACAATTCTTTCTCCATAAAGTACCCAAAGTGCTTAAAATTCTCTAATAATTCTTATTACAGTTAGAATGAAAATTCAAATCCTTTTTGTGGCTTGGCTCCTGACCTTTGTCTGCCTCCTATCCCTCAGTATTACTCTGTCTTTCTAACCCCCAGCAACACTGACATCTCTGGTCTTCAAAATGACAAATATGTTTTTTCACAGAGCCTATACAGCTGATGTTCTTTATTCTTGGAAAATTCCACCTTGCAGATCTTCATATGATAAAAAGCTCAGTCTTGTCATCCAGACTGTAACTCAGAACAACTTTTTCAAAAAGGATTTCCCTAAGCATCCCATCAAAAGTATCCCTCTTTCCCCTGACTTTCCTTCATTTGTTTGTTTATGGGATATATAGTCCAGTTATGCCTTTAGAATATAAGTTCCTTGACGGCAGGAGTCATATGTGTGTCTTGTTCACTGGTATACAGACACTTTATCAATTTTGTTGAATGAAGTAAAGAAAAATGGATAAATGAATGAACTGGGCCACAGAGGAGAACGGTTACCTTCTTCCCATTGCTTCTCTTCCTACTGATATTTCTCATGCCACTCTCAATTTTTCCATGAGTAGGCAAAATGACTAGGAAACAGGGAATGAAAAAAATAGGAAGTGCAGTCCTAAAGAGTGGTATGCAAAGGGTTTAAAGAGAGATTAGGGAAAGAAAAGTCTTAATTTAGGAAAAAGAAGAGTAGACTTCTTTAAAACATCATAGCTTCTCATCAGTGTTTGACCTTCAAGTCAGGAATATAAAGGTAAGAAATGCATATGTTCTATAAAGTATTGTATAAATTGTATTTTCTGAGTTGAAATATTTAAAAATCCACTAGGAAATATATAACTGGTGAATCTTTTTATGAGGACTTACATTAGATCAAAGTGAGGATTTTTATACTGAGTTTTCATGAAGCAGTAAAACCATGTTGTAAACTGATTTGATATGGGCTATAGGATTTAATCTTTTACAAAACTGACACATAAATAGGTAATCAGGGTAAAGGTGATCAGAAATAAAACAGACACACTGCTTAAATTTCATTGGAAAATTGACCTTAAATAACAGATTTGTGAAGAAATATCTTTCAGTTAAATTTTAGTTAAAATTATTCTGCTCAGAGGAACTTAACGTGACATACAGAATACTTGTGTAAAACTCTGAGTCTAAAATTATATGCTTGTATGCACAGAAGTTGATTAGTCAATGACTTTTAAGAGCAGAAATTTAGTATAATTATGCATGATATATACTTTTTTAGGTACAAAAATTATGTTATTTGACTAGGCATGGACCTCTACATAGTATGGGAAAGACTTGTTTCTTTAAAAAAGCATATTAACTAGCCTATTAACAATCAGGGTCTTAATGTAGCATCACATTCTGAAATAAAAAAACTACATTCCTATTATGTTACAGATTAATACTTGTTCTCAGAACTATTTCCAAAAAAGAAAAAACTTCTTACCAGACATAAACTGTGTAATAGAGGATAATTCCATTTGGCTCCAGGGGTGGTTGCCATGACAACTTTACCGTGACACCAGACAACTGTTTTACAAAGAAGTCTTTGGGGGGAGAATCAGGAGCTGAAAAGTTAGGGTAAGGATAATACATTTTATTAAACATATATAAGAGAAGGCTAAAATGGAAATGCACAAAGTTTTCATTATAAACATTCTGGTAAATGAATCAGGCATAGTGTCTTTCTCCATGAGCATGGGAGACTAATTGTTTACTTTCAGAATGAGATGATAAAAAGATTTGCATGGTGGTGTTAGAACATCTGTTTCTGTGATTCAATGGAAAAAAATATTTCATGAGAAAAAAGAACAAGGGGTATGTCACAGTGATTCACCTACTGTTCAAGTACATCTTGGTAAATTATCATCCTCTAGTAAAAATAAAACTACTGGGGTGAATAAATATAATATGCAGTAAAAGTGCTCCTCAAACAATAAAAAGAAGTGGAAAAATATCACACATTCAAGAAGTGGTAAGGTGATAAGCATAACACTGGGAGAGCAGTTAAAATGACTGACCTCACAAATAAAAACTAGATTCCTCAATTTCAGTTGTCATTAAACTGTAAAATAGTATCAAAATTCGTTCATTGAGTCTTCAAAATCGAATGGTGACAAAGAAAACCAATGTAGCACATAAATAAGAACATGGACAGGTTAGGGTCTACTTCTAATTTTGCTATAACAGCATAAGGATTCAAATACCTTAGTCATTCTGCACTGGATAAGCACTAAAAAAAATTACTAGCAACCTACTTAGCCAAGTTTATATTTACATTTAGATAAAACATTTAGAATGGCATTTCTCAGCTACTGTGTAACACCACAGTAATGTCTTAGAAGATTAACATACAAATTTTGCATATAGAAGGGTATAAATTACTGAAAATTTTTATCACTGTTATAGTTATGTAACATATAGTTATATGTGGAAAGTGAACTCATAGGTAGCTAACAGAAGTTTAAGAATTTGTTCAGATCTTTGAACAATGTTAATTTATAGATTAGCACATGCGCACATCACTTTTTCTAATAATTTGGAGAAAATCTTACCTGAATTATTTTAATTTCTTTTTGATTTTCTGAATAATCTCAGCTAGATTGTGTGTGTACATATACTTGTTTGTGTATATGTGTGTTTTCATTATATTGGCAATAACAAATTTCCAACAACATAAAAATTATTGAGCAGAGAAAAGGTTTATGAGATGAATTCTAAAGAATAATGGTGACAGTTGTATTCATATTTTCATTTGGTATTCTCACAGGCACTACAATAAAAATGCTATCAAATATTGATTATCACAAGAATCCATGTATCACTTGGAAATGTCTGTTTCCCAAGATATGAATTACTTCTGAGAACTCTCATTTGTCAAAACAAAAGCCTGTGATATTTCTACTAACATCTTTACAAACTTAACTTACATCTTTACAAACTTAACTTTTGTTTATTATTGGGGAAAAAAAGGATTTAAATCAAAAATAGTACTGATTTAAAACCTAATATGTTGTAACTAAGTATTTCTATTCTATAATATGTTTTAAGCTTTTATGTCAAATATCAGATAATTCTGAGTGTTTCATTTTAATTTCAGTATATCCTTGGGTATTTTCCTTTTTATGCAAAACTTTTTATTGCTAATTAAATACAATTAACATGTCTATCTAAACAAAATATGTACTATAGCAGACTAAGTCTTAATCATTTTGGCATTTGTATTCTGAAGCACAATTTAAAAAATGAAATTGGTAAAGGGGATTAAGAGGCACAAACTTCAGGCATAAAATAAATTTTTAAAAATTAAATTTACTTTAAAGAAAGAAAGAGGGAGGGTGCCTGGGTGGCTCAGTTGGTTAAGCGACTGCCTTTGGCTCAGGTCATGATCCTGGAGTCCCGGGATCGAGTCCCACATCGGGCTCCCTGCTCAGTGGGGAGTCTGCTTCTCCCTCTGACCCTCTTCCCTCTCATGCTCTCTATCTCTCATTCTCTCTCTCTCAAATAAATAAATAAAATCTTTAAAAAAAAATTAAAAAAAAAGAAAGAAAGAGGGAAATTGGAATACATAAATGCAATAATATCTTTTGCAATCTATCTAATTCATCATGACAGAGCATATGAGAATAGGCCAGAAGGGTATTCATTAGACTCTTCCACCCTCTGGCTGCTGTGGTCTTTCCTCTCTCTCATCCTCCCTCTTCACTCACTTTCCTTCCAGTCACAGCTTAGCTGTAACTTCCTCAGTTACACTTCCTCTGATGCCTAAAGTAGCTAAAATTCCTCTTTTGTCCTTAGGAATAACTTGGGGGAAATACTTAAGCCAGTGATTAAAGTTATAAAGATTATTTTTCTATACACAAATCAAATTTAGATCTCTTCCACTAAACCACAAGTTTCATGAGGGCCAAGAGCACCAAATACCCAAGAAAGAAAAGCTTCTCAGTCCTTTATCCATTCTTGATTTGCTGAAATTTTTCAATAAAAGGGTCTTGTTCTTCAACCTGCTCATTAGCAATTATATCAATGACTTGGCCAAGGACTTAGATGGTAAGTTCACCATGGTGACTTATACCATGGTCAGTTTAACAGTCCAGGTAATTCAGATACACAGTATAGTTTGAAACTATTGACTTAAGTGGTAAACAAACAAAATGGACAAACAAACAAAAAAGACAAAAAACAACTCTGCTCAGCATATATGTTTACTACTGGTCTAGGTTCCTGCATATAGACCTCAAATTCTTACCATCAGGACTATTTCATTAAGTTAGAAAAAAAAAAGTGGATACTATGTTCAAAAGGGCATTGCATAGATGATTTAGTACATCTTTCTTAGGCATTACCTAAGATGGAAAAAAGAGCTAACCTCACCCCCGCCCCAGCCTTTAACAATCGTCCCACTGGGAAGGATTTATTTATTAGGTTAATTTTTACTTTCTTTCAGCACAAAGAATTGAACTATGAAAGAATGAAAAGTTGGACAGGTTTGAGTTTTGATGGAGAAATAAGCATAGTTAGTACATGCAATGACTAAGGAAGACCAACCCATGAGAGTACTTAGAACCTGGGACAAACCGAGCAGCCCACCAGGTTGCTTTAATGAAGTAATTTGATGGAGGCAAAAACAGGGAAGGACCTGAAACAGAGGAGAAAGCTCTGAAGACTGTCATTTTGGACAAAATAAGAACAATGCAGAGAAAGGCCTTCCCTCTTCTAGAAGTATATAATGCACATTTTGTCCTGGTGAATGATTAGAATCTGAACATCCACAGAATGTAACCAAACTTGAGGATGGAAAAACTTGAAAGAGAGGTGGGGAAAGACACCCTACAAACACTTATGATATCCCTCATGACAACAGGACTTCCCTTTGCAGAAATAAAAATAAAAATAAGTCTCAAATATATACAATGTATAAAACATAAAATGCAAATCCAAATCCTAAATATATTCCTCAAAAGTAATTTTCTTAGCCTGATATATGCCTAGAACTTGGTGAGGTACCAGTGTAAAGTGGTCTCAGTAGTAAAGATGATTTTATTCAGGTTAGGAAAAGATATGTTTATTCAATATGAAGGCTATTAACATTCAGGAATAGCATCTTGGCAAATTATGTAGAGAAACCTGGAAACTGGCCTGAACTCATTAGCAAGCTAATCCTAATAGAGTAAAAAAGACTGCAGGTTGATATAACAGAATCTACTACAAAACTGATGTAAATATCTTTTCTTATGAACATTAAAGTTGAAAAACACAGTCATAACCTATATTAGTTGATGTTCAGACCATTCAAACCAAGATTTTAGCCTTAAAAATTCCCATAAAAATACTGCTGATTTCTTACAGAGCAAGGATGACTTCAGAATCAAAAAAGAGCACTTCAGGGGTGCTTGGGTGGCTCAGTCGGTTAAGCGGCTGCCTTTGGTTCAGGTCATGATCCCAGGGTTCTGGGATCAAGCCCCACATCAGGCTCCCTGCTCAGCAGACAGCCTGCTTCTCCCTCTCCCTCTGCCTGCCTCTCTGCCTACTTGTGCGCTCTCTCTTACAAATAAATAAATAAAATTGTTTTTTTAAAAAGAGCATTTTATTGAACATGAATCTGACTTTGCTAGCTTCTTTTACTCCATGACAATGAAATCTCTGTATAATGCTGGCACAGCACACAACTGATACCCAAGTCTAGTAGAATTTTTACATTATATCTTCATTTTATGTACACGCTTTTTTTTGAAATGTGATGGATTCAAAATAAATCTGTATCCACTACTGTATTTACCATCTTCTTCAGTCAGTACACTTATGGGTTCGCTCCGCACTCCTTCACCCCTGAGTGTACTAGCAGACACTTCAATCTTGTATTGGGTATATTTCTTCAGTCCTAAAAAGAAATCAAATAGATAAGACTTACAAAATATCATTTAGTAATATGCAAGAGGCAGACTATGAAATGACTTAATATTCCAAAAGTAAAAACTAAATGAAAATGAAGTGCTTTCAAATAGTAAGTCCTATTACAAAGACAAAATATGACAAAGTATTGACTTAGAGTATTCTTTCATGTGACTGTAATAAACTCCTAGTTTATTAAACTAAAAAGCCAGAATTGTCCTTCCCTGTATAAAACTAATCATACTTACCATTTATAATATAAAAGCAAGGTAATATTTTGTGCCCACTGTCAATATTATGTAAATACCTAACATTATACATTATTTTTTACCTTTAATGCTCTGGGTCAAAGAGGTTGTATTTATAGTTCTTTCCTCATTTCCATTACTTCTCCTGAGATAAATTGTGTATTTTTGTATGATTCCATTAGGACTACTCGGGGGAAGGAATGACAGCTCAATCTCTCCAGAAGATATATTTTTATAAGTAATATTTTCTGGTGCACTATCAGGCACTGGGAAAAAACAAAAATATAAATGCATAAAATAATTCTATACTAAAAATATATTCTCAAAAAAAAAAACCCATTTTGTTGAAGTCTTCACCCAAGTGCACTAGGATACATATATAAGAACATCCTAAATGGAATAAGAGACACAAAACTTATACACTTACAACTATGTAAGAAAAAATGCATCTCAAAAGAAAATTCATACTATGATTCTACAGAATAATGCTTATAGGATGATATGTTTATTAAAATACTTGAGATGGTATTAAACTGTCTATCGTTGCAGAACACACAGATGCAAGAAAGAAGTTTAAAAAACACCTAAAAATCAATTTGGCCTTTCATTAATAATGATAATATATAAAAGATCAATAATTAGTTTGGGTACAAAACAAGATGTATGACAAGGCAAGGAACCTCTCCTAAATACAATGATACAATGTTGCACATTAGGACCTGGCAGCAAACCAGTCTTCCAAGGATACAAGATAACATTAAATAAAATACAAGTTTTATGTATCTACTAATGTTCTTATTGTATTGAATCCTATGGTCATAAAATGGTTCTCTACGTATATTCAAATGCTAGTACTACATGTGGGATTCTGATTCTAATATTGAAACAGACACCCTAAACTGAATAACTATCTAATTAAAACAGTTAAAACCCTTCATAAAATTGAAACAAAGTTTTCTCTACAGGAATTGCAGAGTGGATAAGGAAGTTAGAAATCTGTGGTAGCCAAAAAAACAAAAGCAAAAAAAAATAAATTAAACAAAAAAACAAAAAATGGGTATCCTGAAACAGAAGCTGGTACTAAAACCAGCTCTGTCTTAGAGGGGACTGGCCAGTCCTGGTGATGTTGAGCTTTTGCATTAACAGCTGTATGGAATTCCAGGTAAAAAAGAGAAAGCCTTGGGCCAGGAGAAGAGTAAGGGATATCCCCGTATAAGAAGATGGAAAACCAAAAGCACGCAATTTCAGCCATTTTACTGGACACCTCAGGGAGGTACCTTCAATTCTTCTGCAGAATGCCACAGAATTCAGTGTGAGTGGTAACTCCTGATCTTGTGCAATGTGATGTGTTCACCCTCAGGGAAGAGGGAGTGAGAAGTAAACCCACCATACAAAAGAGGACAGAGAAGAATTTTTTTCTCTCACTCCATTCTGGATGAAGAAGTGAAAAAGAAAGAAAAATTATGCAGTTTTGGAACTGCACGCCTATCCCCAAGAGCCTATGTGGCTCAAATCCGTGCTACCTGAAAAACCTTCACTTCAGAATTTAAATTAAAATGAATCTGTAACAGAGTGGCTGTTATTCAAAAGCAACTAGCAGAAGCAAACATAAATCCTCTCAGAAGGAACTCAGCTTCAACTCAGGCCACATAAATGTACCACGGATAAATTTCAAGGAAAATGTGCTGACTGATAAAATCACTAAACAAGCAAATCAGACACCAATAAAGCTAGCAAAGAAAACGGAAAAAAAAAATCTGTCTCTCCCCCCTCACCCCCCACACACAAACACACAGCAGTCAGACTTCAAAAGACTTCAGATAATTGAATTTACCAAAGAATAAAAATGTTTAATGCCTTTCAACAGATCTAACAGATTTGAAAATATGAGCAAAGGATTCTTTAGATAATAATAACTGATAGATAGCCAAGCAGATTTGAAAGAGAACCAGATAGGCCTTCTAGAATAGAAAACAAAATAACTGAAATTAAAATTCTTCTGATGTATAAAAAAGCACATTTGATAGAGATAGAGAGAAATTTAGTGAAAAGGATGACAATATTAAAAAATTATTGAGAATGTAGTTCAGAGAAAGAAAATAGGGAAAATATAAAATGGCAGTTAAGAGACATGGAGTATATATCAAAGGAGTCTAAGGTAACAGAGAGGGTGAGGATGAAATATTTTTAAAAGGATAATGGCTGAGGCTTCAAAATTGTTGGAAGATATTAAACTTCAGGTCAAGGAACCTCAATAAGTTCCAAGCAGGAAAATATTTTAAAACAACCATATTTAGACATACCATTGTGAAAGAGAATATCTTAACAGCACCAAAAAAACAGATCATCTACATAGGAATGACAAATTGACCTCGACTGAAAAACAACTTGAATTCTATACCCAGAAAAATTAACAAAAGCAAAATAAAAACATATTCAGACAATCACAACCAGAAAATCCTCAATGAATGATGTTATAAACAATGCATTTTAGGCAGAAAAATATTTATGGGAGATGAAAGAACCACAGTTGCAAAGATAATGGTTTAAAAATCGCCTGCATGGAACAATAACAATAACAACTAATTTGAGGGGTTAAACAATATAAACTATGTAAACATTATTGCCATTATAAAGTCCTATTACAAGAATCTTTCCTTTCAAAAGAAAGAATTGAACCTTTTTTATTGGCCCTCTAAATACAATGGATATAAAAGTTGCTACTAATAAATTTAATGAAGTAGAAAAATACAGTTCAAGGGGTGCCTGGGTGGCTCAGTCGTTAAGCATCTGCCTTCAGCTCAGGTCACGATCCCAGGGTCCTGGGATCGAGCCCCGCATCAGGCTCCCTGCTCAGCAGGAAGCCTGCTTCTCCCTCTCCCACTCCCCCTGCTTGTGTTCCTGCTCTTCCTGTCTCTGTCAAATAAATAAATAAAATCTTAGAAAAAGAAAAATACAGTTCAAAAGCCTTGAAAGTATAGATGCAGTACCACCTGCTCCCAATTGTTAACTGCTATGGAATATAAGGCACGCTTAATAGGAAAAACTGACATACAGATGTTGATATTTCTAAAACTTTGGGAAGAATTGTAATTCAACACATAGTTTGATGTAGTTATATACAGCAATATAATTCTACACAATATAATCCCTTTGCATACACTCAAAATCTTCTCTAGTATCTTCCCAAGGCAAACCATTACATGGAGAAAAATCCTCAACTGCTCTGAATGCTTTCTTAACCTTCTGGATCTAAGTGAAATCTTGGATCTCCTGAGAACATTACATTTTAGTGCTCTCAGGGAACAGGTAGTCATTTGTTTTTCTCCTACAATCCCTAAAACCATAGGACCTGGGAGTTCAGTAGCTGCATTTACAGTTCCTCTTTGCCATATCCAGATTGTTTCTCCTTCCTTCTACCTGAAGAACTCTAGTGCTACTCCTCCTTAAGAGTCACACTTCTTCAAACACCTAAATTATTGTATCACCTAAGAGGAGAGTGGGGTGGTGAGAAGGGTGAAATAGGTGATGGGGATTAAGGAGTGCACCTGTGATGAGCCCTGGATGATGCAAGGAAATGTTGAATCACCATACTGTACACCTGAAAGTAATATTCACTGTATGTTAACTAATTGGAATTTAAATAAAAACTTTAAAAAAAGGAAAAATTTTATCACCTGGATGACTGACTTCCTCTCTACCACTCTTAAGAGATGTCAATGTCAATGCAAATGATCTGTCCAATTCCCTGGACTCTATATTCCTTGATCTCGGTAATTCCAAGTTTTCCTCCACCTCACTTTAACCACTAGCTTATATGGCTATACCCAAAACCTTGTCATTACCAATCAATGCCTGTATTCCTTTCTTTGGCAACACCCCCTCTTTCCAGCTTACTGACCTTTGTACTGACAATCCAACAATTCCTTGACCCTCATCATAACTTCATTTTCATCCCCTCCCTTACATCCTCATCTCCCTACTCACTCAGGCCAGAACCCATCGCCTACCCCCAAAACCAGTCCCTACCAATCTCCATCAATTCCTGTTTCCATCTTGCTTTCCAGCAAAATTCCAACCGGAATTAAACTGAGCTCAGTGCTAGTTCCATATCTGCAACAGAACAGCCGAAAACATCAAAAGAAAGCAAAACTCCATGCTAACTAGCCTCATTTAAATTTAAACCTCAAATTTCAAATGAATTTTTTCCACTTCCCAACAGCCTATATTTTACTTTAGTCAGTTCCGTCTACAGCTCTGCTCCGTATGTTTTCACCATCTTCTCTGTCCACAAACATCCAAAATCCCTCCCCACTTCTTACGCAAAGCTGAAAAACTTGCTTCCCACTTCATTGAGATAATAACACTCAGAAGAGAACTACATTATCTTCCTTCTACCGATTTTCCTTTAACTGCTTTCTCTCCTTACTCCCTTCCAAGGCATAGCCCTGCACTTCTTTTTTTTCTTTCAAGTTTTTATTTAAATTCCAGTTCATTAACATAGAGTGTAATATTAGTTGCAGGTGTAGAATTTAGCTATTCATCACTTACATACAACACCTAGTGCTCATCACAAGTGCCCTCCTTAATCCCCATCACCTATTTAACCCATCCCCTCCACAACCTCTTCTCCACTAACCATCAGTTTGTTCTCTATAGTTAAGAGTCTGTTTCCTGGTTCTCCTCTCTTTTTGGTTCCCTATGCTCATCTGTTTTGTTTCTTAAATTCTGCACATGAGTGAAATCATATGGTGTTTGTCTTTTTCTGACTGACTTATTTCGCTTAGCATAATACTCTCTAGCTAGATCAATGTCATTACAAATGGCAAGATTTCATTCTTTTGGATGGCTGAGTAGTAAGTATTCTGTTGTATAAATATACCACATCTTCTTTCTCCATTCAACAGTCAATGGAAATTTGCCTAGCTCTCCATTTCTGTGCTAGATTCCATTCAATCTATCTAGTCAGAGGTTTTAGAACTGAAGTTATTCCCTCTCTGTTGTGTTATTGGTTTTTCTCTTTTGGTTGAATTATTTCTATATTGTATACATGTGAACACATACACACACACACATTATATCACAGCAAAAGAAAAAAGAAAAGACACTTGACTCCCTTTGCCCTTTCATATATTGCTCCATTCTGGCCTCCATGCCATATCAAAATTGCTCAAAATTCCCACCTTTACTCATTTTCTCCACTTTTTAAGTCTGTCATTCTGTCTTAGTCTCCTTCAGTTAGGCATTTTCCTCCTCTTTTTTCCATGAAACCTGCTGTCATGAAGTCACCAGTGATCTCCATAATGCCAAACCTCTCATCAGTTGTATGCCTTCATCATCCTCACTTCACTGACAGCAGTATTTGACAAAGGAAATAAATTACTTCCACTTGAAATTCTTTATTCACTTGCATTGCAAGACACAATCTTCTGATTTTCCTCTTACCTCACCACTGCCCACTTCTGCTTAGTCCTTTACTAAGTCCTCTGACTTCCCCAAGTCCATAGGTTATATTGCCCCAGAACATAGGTGTCTGCTTCTTTCCATTTCTATCTATGCATCCCCTGAGGTGACTTTATCTCATCCCTTGACTTTAAATTGTGTATTCAAGCCTCGATCCTCTCCCTGAGTTTCAAATTTACATATCCAATTGCCTTCATGACAGGTACTCAGATATTTAAAACATGTTCAAAACAGAACTGAATTTCCTCCAAACTGACCTCTTCTCCAGACTTCCCTATCTCAGTAAATGGTACCACCATTCACCCAGATATTCAAATGAAATACCTAGTAAATAATCATGTTTTTCTCTTCATTCCCAAATCCAACATAGTCATCAGTGATCTTCCAAAACTGCAAATAATATCATGTTCTTGTCATAATTCTTCAATAGCTACTCATTACAATTAAACTCCAAACCTCTTAAAATAACACCAAGAATCTGCACAGTCCACCTTTGCCAGCCTGTCTCTCCTCATCTGCTAATGACAGGAATGCTCTGCTCTTCCTCAACCACATAAAGTATCTTTCCACTTGAGAAATTTGGCTATTGCTATTCCTCCTTCTGGCGGACTTTTCTTCCTTACCCTCATCTAACTTGCTCTTATACATTGTTAATATCTCTGGGCAAATATAATTTCTTCAGAGAGGGCTTCTCTCATTCTACTACCTCCAATAGTCTGTTTACTAGTCAATAACTCTCTCTTCTTTCCCTGGTTTTTTTCTTATTACAATTTACCACTACAAAAGTCACATATATTACTTTTTACTGGTTTATTTTCTGTGAAACTTCTAAAATGTTAAGTTCCGGGGCGGTAGGAATTTTGTCTTACTGCTGTACCTACAATGCATATGAATCCACAAAAACATGTTCAGGCCATGAATAGATATGTCCAACATGACATAAAATGTATTTAAAAACAAGAGAGAAATTCACAGCTAAGCAAAACAAGATTGAATTGAATAGCTCTTTAACTGCAAGAAAAAAAGGAGTCAGTAATACTATGCTTGAACTTCATAACTCAGTATGACTTCTGATTTTGAAAAATTCCCATTGGAACTAGCAAAGTTGTCCCTCTGGAGTTGTCTGCCTACCACCAGTAGTCAGAATATAAATATGCACCCCTGACCCCAGGCTGATATCCTTTGCATTTTTATTCATTTATCCTTAGGGGGTAACCAGTGCTGGATTCAGGGAAAATAAGACAGACTTAATGACTTACTGATTTTGGAGAGCAATGATGGACTTAAGAGTTTTCTGAACCAACACAGTGTGTCCAATTGGAGAAGTATTGTGTAAAATAGATAGCTCATGAATAAAAAGACTATGGACTCTGAGAAACAAACTGAGGGTTCTAGAGGGGAGGGGGGTGGGATGATGGGTAAGCCTGGTGATGGGTATTAAGGAGGGCACGTACTGCATGGAGCACTGGGTGTTATGCACAAACAATGAATCATGGAACACGACATCAAAAACTAATGATGTAATGTATGGTGATTAATACAACATAATAAAAAAGTTAAAAAAATAAATTATTACAATTGGTTGGAATAAGCTGAATCTATTTAAAAAATAAAAATAAGAAATGTTTGTTCATGATGGTCCTAAAATAGGAAGTGACAAGTTACCTTGAGTATTCCAAAAGATTGTTGTTTGGCATACAAAGTTATAATGATATGTAGAAAAATTTTAAAATGCTATTCATTAATATAAATAAATTTATAGAGCCCCACACAAAATTTTGGTCAACATCTAGGTTACTATCCACTAGTGGTTATTACCCCACATCAGACATATTCAAGGCATTTTGTTAAAGGCTTACCATAAAGAAAGTTAGATCTTACAGAGGAAAGAGAAAAATAGAGATCATCAAAAGGTAATTTATATGAGAACTTAAAGTTCTTTATATGATTACTGAACCCTAAGTATGAGAAAACATGAATTAATCTTGTTTGATTGCAACCTGCACATTCTATATGTAAAACACACATAAACACAGTCTCTCTTTCATACACACATACACACACACACCCATGAGATCAACCTCGTATTGATCTTTTTTGCTTGAACACAAGAGTATTTTACTCCCAAGCATAAGTAAACTCTGATTCCCCAATCAAAATAAAGCATGTGCACAAATAATTTATTCTTATTTGTAGCTAGCAGCATTAACACACTACTAACCGATCCCTCAATTTCTCATGAAACAATATTGAAAAGTGGGCTCTTGTTTTTTATAATAAGAGTAGAGGATGGATTCATTCTATTTAATAAGAATATGAAGCCTTGGGAATAGTTGTTCTTGAGTACATCTTTCTTCAAATGACACCTTGAGACTACTTAACATTCTAGCTTCCTCTTTTGCAAAAAGAGCTAAAACTGGTGCCTCAATAGTAGCACATATATTATGGGAAAAGTCGTAATGTAGATTTCATTGTCCACCATTTTCATCTAGATGAAGAATGCAAAGATGTTGAGAGTACCCTACTTTAAGACAGAGAGTTTGAAATTAGAAGTATGGACATTGAACACAATGCCCTATTATTCAGTCTGTTTTGCTTCTGAAGAGACTAGTGGCAAAAAATAATTAGCAAACAACAAAAAAGAATATTCTATAGATAATCATTAAGGTGTTCTTGATGCTGTGACCAGTAGTGAAGTATTTGTAGTGAAGTATTTGATAGTGAAGTATTGATAAGCATTTGATAAGCATTCATGAATATGATGATTGTTTAATATAACAGGAACTTTGAAAGTTCTTCTTTCCTTCTTCATGCTGTGCAGAGCCCAAGCAACAAAAGAGCTCTGCAACAATGAACAGAAAAAATCCTAGATATATTCTATAATTTACCAACTTTATTGATGGCTTCTGAAACAGATTATATTGTGAAAGGAAATATGCTTTATAGTCTGATGCATTTGGGTCCCGGGTCCAGCTTCATCACTTACCAGCTGGGTGACCTTAAGCAATTAAACATCTACCAATTAATTTTAACTTTAGGAGGGCAGAAATTCACTTTAATTTACAGTGTTATATTCTCAGTAGGGCTTGGCATATTGCGAATATTTATTGAAGGGTGAACCTCTCACACCTGTTTTTTATTAGGCAATGAAGACAGTAATATCTTAATGCTTTATTTTAGAATTAAAGAGGTAATTTTCATGAAAGCCAATGGCATAGCCCACGGCACTTTGCGGGTGTTTAAAATATGCTTGTTTCTTTCCCTTGACCCAGTGTAAAATAAAGCTAGGTTAGGTAAAGAGGAGATATTTTTCTTCAAAAAATACTGATTTTAAAAACAATATCTATTAAAGCAATGGAACATGCCAATATACAGTTTAACATCAATTAGATTTCACTTTAAGGGATAACTCTTGATGCTATAAAACATTCCTTTCATTACTCTCTCAGTCCAGCAATTACAATTGCCATTCTCCATGGGCTCTTTTATGTCATCTCATTTTTTTAATTTCTGTGACCAGTCTCAAGAAGATACTCCTGTTCAAAGATAAACTGCTTTACTAGATTCCTAGATCCTCAAGGTTAGAGACAGGGCCTCACATATAGCATCTGGCTGAACCATATGAAATTGCTGATATTTGGCCACTATGACCCATAGGAATAGTAATTCCATATGATTCAGCCAGTAGCTAGTCAATAGATATTTAATTTTCAAAGTAGGAATAGAACAGAAACTTTCTATTTTGTTATTAATTCTCAGCATAAATTACAGAGTTGGCTTAAGAGTGATGCTCCAATATATGATTATAAACATAAGAATAAATTTGTTATAATCATCTTGTAGCACTAAAACTGAAACACAAGAGTGTAATTCCTTGCTTCCATGATATTCCCCTCCCTACCCACCCAACAACTTCAATAACATCCACTCTACCCTATTCTTTAAGATCCAGGTCAGATGCTATCTCCTCCATAAGACTCAACCAGGCATGCCCTTCCTATGCTCCTACTCTGCACCTCTTTCTATATACATACCTCATTGGAGGACAGAAATCTATTCTTATGAGTGGGCTCTGCTTTTACCTAATCTGCAAGCATGTAGTTATTTTACAGGTACACTGAAAGATTCCTTGGTTTCTCAAGGTCTTTCACTTGAAAAAGTCACTGATTTTATTTTGGAGTTCCCATATATGTAAAGCAGACTTTAACAAACAGCAAGCCTTTTCCCCACACCTTCCCAGGAAAAAAAAAACAAATAGATTTCTGGGTTATACAAAAAAGAATGAGAGATTTTAGGTTACTTAAAATATAAACAATATGACAATTGTCAGCCATGTTTACTTCATTACTATGAATTTTTTTAAGATTTTTTTAATTTATTTTACTATGTATTATTAAACAACAAACAAAAAACTTACCAGTCTCAGAAGTCCTTACAGAGAGTAAAGAAGATAACTGATTGCCATGACCAAATCTGGTATATGACCTGACAGAAATGTTGTAGAGGGTGTAAGGTTTTAAGCCCCTTAAAATTATGTTTGTGGTTGAGGTGTTCTTCATAAACAAGGTGTCCATATTTTTATACAGCACTTCATAAGCAACAATAATCCCATTGGGCTTCTCAGGGGGTGACCACTTCAAATTTATTTCACTTGCAGTAACATCAATAACTTCAATATCTTGAGGTGATGATTCTGGTTCTGGGGGATAAAAACAAAATTTTAAATACATGTATTTTTTTCATGCTAATTGCTTCAGCCACTAAGGATCATGAGATAGACAGCAGTAAGCATGCAACACTACTTGGTTCTCTTTATTAAAATTGCACCTGATATTCTTACCGTCTTCTGGAGTTCTCACAAAGATGTCATTTTCTTCAGACAAAGAACTTTCTCCAACATGGGTTGAGGCAGCCACTCTTATTTTATATTTCGTGTATTTCTTTAACCCTATAATGACAACAGTAATCTGTTTAAAGATCATAAAATAACATTCATGGATTAGGGTCATTTGACACAGGACGAGTGAAAATAATTTATTTGGGAGACTGGCTCTCCAAGTCAGTTTCCTTGTAATCTCATTGTCCCAAAATTCCTCAGGCATGAGGGTCTTCCCATGTTGATGATATTTTAGTTCTTTCCTGAATATTAGCATAATCATTGAAGCTGAAAAATAATTTTTGGCACGCTGCAAGGACTATGTCGACTTGGCACAAACAGCATGTCAGCTCAGTAACTTCAGCTGATTTTCACATTCATTCATTCAAGCTTTCAACACTTTACTTCAGTGTACCAGATATAAAATTCTCTGGGTTAAGTATGTCCCTATAATACTTGTGATCTGATGATCTCATTTTTCGTAGATAAATATAGATAAAGAAAAACACATTTTAATCAAGTTATTATTTCTTCACATTTTTCAAGATGTCCATGGCAGCACAGCATAAGAAAATCTGAAATGAGGCAGCACGTGTCCTGCAGTGTTTAAGGCAGAAAGAGATGCATATTTTCATTAGAAAAGCAATGTTTTAAAAAAGATTGTTCTACCTGTTATGAGAAAGCTGTTATCTGTAGTAGTCATCTGGAATGCTCTGTTTGTATCCAGTTCCATTGCATAAATGGTATAATGAGTTATTTTTCCATTGGGATATTCTGGAGGATCCCAATACAACAAAATAGATGAAGAACTAATATTTTTATAGTTTATAATTTGAATGGAGCTTGGCACTTGTAAAGAAGAATGAACAATTAATGTGAACAAAAAGAAAAACTATTACAATGTGTAAGAGCAGTATTTGCAGGTAATTATTTCAAAGGAAATACATTCTTACCTTGCTCACGTGTCCTCACACTGAGAACCGTTGGTGGTCCTTCTCCCATGATGGTGAAAGCAGATACACTAATCATGTGCTCAGTGAAAGGTACAAGTCTCCTGATAACATAAGACAGCTGTTCAGCAGCAATGTTGGTGATATACAGATTCCTTGTAGTTCCTATTTGAAATCAGTTTAAAAAAATCATGATCAAAATTATTTTTCCTCACAGAGTGAAACCTTAAACTTGATTTCACATTAGTCATTAATTTTTCTGTGTCCTCTTTAATGCAAAATAATAAAAATATGTGTAAATAATAAACATGTATAATTAATAATACATACATCTTGGAACATGAGGCTAGTGTTTTGAGAAAATACAACCTTCTGAAAGGGACTGGCTAGGAATTTTTTTCTGAAATGAAAGATGAGGTAATATCAAATTAAAATGTTATAAGCCAATGCTGTGTTGTAATGTGAATGTTATCGAAAGGAGACTTATTTGGACTAAAAAAATACCATACCTTTATTAAACCCCTTGGGGGTTTAAAGTAAGCATGCTTGGATAACTGACACGTAAATATGTCTGAACAAGGATTTCAAATAATGTTAATTTTTTTTATTAAGAACCTGTGCATCCAACAATGTTAAATAACAATTAGCCCAGACAAATACTCAAGGAAACATCTGTATCAGAAATTGTGGGCCTCTTAATTTTTAGTGTTGGCTCCAGTCTTTGCACAGGTCAAAATGGATCAGTAAATGAAATAAGCATATATTGAATGTAATGTGATATTTTTGACTAATTCTGCATCAATAAAATAACATAACACTTTTAATTTGGAATGAGACAACTACTGAATCAGAAAAAAAGGCAATGAAAAAAATATTCTTCTCACTTTTAGAATGACCAGAGAGATCATTTAGATCTGCGTCATGTAACCAACTATTTTTAATTTGCTATATATGGCATTCTTCTTTTAGAAACAGTAAGATCCATTGACCCTGAAAAGCAAGTGTATACACTAATGACATCACCACATCGCTGGGGTCACCTACACCTGTTTATCACCCCATGCACTAGAGTTGTAACTTTCTGACCTATTTACCTTTAGTGACATTTGAAAACCTATTAGTCAAAAGCTGCAGAGAGTGTGAGGCCTGTAAATGATTTGAAGATATGTTAATCCCTCCCCATCACACCTGCTTTGGCAACTGTAATAACTGATTGTCTATGCAGCTTGGCCAGAGACTCTAGGGTGCTACTTTCTCTAGGAGGAAGGTCAAATGGGTTAGGAGGGGCCAACTCCTGCCTGTGTGGCATATCCATTTGCTGCATGAGGTTATTCAACAGTTTAAGAAAAAATCTGACTCCAGCCCATGAACCATTAATAATTTGGTTGAACTCCAAGCTAAGGTTCATATCTGTGCTAGCTAGTACTGATGGTTTGAAATACTCTTCAAAGAACATAAAAACTGTACCTACCAACTGCTGAATGCTGGTCTTCAGCTCTGTTCCTCACAGGGAAGTTATTACGTGCATGACTGTTATATATAGCTGAAGCAAGCGAGTAGAGGTCTGAAGATATCTCTGCTGAACCCTCAAATAATTCTGCCATTGACTCTTTTATGTTCACAGTTTCTGGAGTCATGGGGTCATCTATATACTGTAATTAAAAACAGACTATTTACAATGACTGTAACACACTTTATAATGACTTCACTCAAGTATTTAGCTTAAAAAACTAGTAACTTTGGAATCACACCTTTTAAAAAGACAGTATTATTTCCACAACTACTGTCTTCCTTTATATTCCCAGATTTCATTCTAGAGCTATTAAATTCCTGCATCATTTTAACACATCCTGATCACTCCCTTATCTTAAGAGATCAATACCGTATTGTGGGATGAAGGGGATATTTGTTTCTGATTTGAGTTAATTATTGTAAAATTAGACATCCTCATACAGAGGTTTCATAACTAAACTATTTTAAAACCATTCACACCCAAAAGTAAGTGTTCTAGGCACACTGCCTTATTAAAATATGTTTTGCTTCTCTGTGTGTTCTCATTTGCATATGAGGTGTGAGAGGCTTGTATGCCTGCTTGATACATCAATAATAGTTTATCTTTGATCAAGTGAAGTTACAGACATCAACAAAACTGCATGGCAATAGCTTTCAAGTAGCCTGTCCAAGTCTCTGGACCTAAAGAATATTTTAAGTGATTGCTCCTAGATCCCATAATGTACTTCACACATGTCAAGTTCACCAAAGTAACAGATACTGAAGTGAAAATATCAGGGGCACATTACAGATAAATGCAGAAGAGTTTCTATTGGGATAACAAGACGACTCTCTCCTTTCCCCCTTCCCACAAAGCATAGCTGATTGAGGAAAGGGTATTTGAGCCAAATACTATTAGGTATTTTGTGTAGTTTTCAACCTCGGAAATAAGACTAAACATTAATCAAAGTAAATGTTGCCTTAAGAGACTTAACAACCAAATGAAAAGTGTGAACTTTGGATTCTAATTAGTACATATCTACCAACATAGGCTTCAAAGATAATCAGGAAAATGTGAATATGTTTTAGATATTAGATGATACCAAAACAATATTAGTAATTCTGATAGTTGTGGTAATGGAATCATTATATGAATTAAAATGTCCATGAGTTTTAGAGATTTGTTATTAAGTAGGCACATAGGAGCAAAATGGGAAGTCTGGAATGTATTCTAAAATATGTCCAAGGTAACAGTAACAACGGGAAACAGCTGATGCCAGTATGACAGAATGTTAGTTACTGAATCCAGGTGAGGGGCATATAGGGGGTTATTACATTCTCTTCTCTACTTTTATATCTGTTCAAAATTTTCCAAGATAAAATCATTCTGGAAAAAAAAAGACATTGCAAGAACTACTTGCTTTTGGTCCATTCCTTTTCAAGTTCTGCTTCAAAACTCACCTTTTAAGAAAAACAAAAGTGCTTTTTTTAAAGAAGAAAATCATTTTATTCCTTCCCAACTCCATGCTCTTGCACACTCAAAACTTGTAATATATAATAAAGGTTTTATTTATGTAAATAACTTTTGGTACTCTTATCTTTTAATTAGCTTACATGTTTTGGGGTTGTCTTTAGTCCTAGAGCCAAAAACAGAGTTTTTATTCCTAAATAATATCAATACTTGGTATTTTAAAAAAGTAAGAGGTTCTCAGGAAAAATTTCAGGAAGGCAAGAAATTTTAAGGCCGTTTGTTTAACCATCTACAAAGATAGGTCATTGGAATATTGACTTTTCTGAGACATAAAAGAATGGAGAAATGATCCAAGGAAATCTCTAGTTCTCCAAATGATATTTATAAAATAAAGTTATCTAAATCTTGTTACATCTTTAGCCAGAAGAGTATTGTGATGAAAAGCAGGGGGACACCTATGAGATCTATTCTAAAATTGTTGCAATAAAGAACTCTGGATAGGGAACTCTATATGGGATAAGTTAAAGGTCTTCTATCTTCCAACGGCTCACTTCAGCTCTGCCTCCACAGGGAAATCAGGGAGGGCATGAATCACAAACACATAATTCAGAGATGCTCTGGTATTCCAGTCAATAGTTTATGCTTGAGACACACAGCTGTTTCCACTATCAATCAGCCGCTCTTTGAGAATCTACTGTGTACAAAGCACTACGGAAGGTACAATGAAGTAGTACAAACAATTTCCCCGTGAACTAAAACTTCGCATTAAATCTCCTGATATTTTACACTCCATGTAAGATAAATTATTGAGAGTTATGCCACAGCATCCCATCAATTAACAAAGTTAAGCATCTCTGTTGACAAACTGCCATTTCAATAGAAGAGCTGACCTAAATAATTTTGGCTTTCTGAATTTCTCCCAAATTCTGGTATTCTAGAAAGACCCTCCCTAACTGGGGCAATGATTTGAACATTGGTTTCACAACAACCCAGAATGTTATTTGTTATCACTGAGAGGGTTGTGCCATGAATATTTCTCACACTTTGCCTCTCTTAAAAAGGCATTAGATATTGGGTTTTTCAAAGGATGAAAAAAATGTTTTAAGAGCAAAAATGATGGGAAAGAACTAGAACTTAAGAAAGTAATTGGAAGGAGCCGAAGTGGACGTGAGAGAAATGGAAGAGAAAAGAAGCCCACCACAACCCCTAAAGGTTTCAGACTCACTGAGTTAGTCCAGGGCTCTCAACTCAGCACTACTGAAATTCTGTGTTAGATAATGTTTTGTTGTGGGAAGGTTAGCAGCATCCCTGGTTCCTACCCACGAGAAGCATCTCCTCAGTTGTGACAAAGAAAAATGTCTCCAGTGATTGCCAACTGGAAAGCAAACTCTCCCTTGGTTGAACACAATTGACTTAGGGAATGTCACAGTTCATCAACATGAAAGGCCTCTCATATGCTACCCAGGAATCTGTGGAATTTATGTGAAAGAATTACAGTTCTTCAGAGCTAAATTCCTAATCCATCTGTATAAACCAACCTGATTCTATGTGTAAAATCCTTCATTATAGCTAATGTGATTTTATTTCTAAAAAAATCTCCATTACATCTATCAATTTACACTCACTGGAAGTCTACTGGATTGAATTAATGGAACAAGTGACTTATTCTTAAGAAATGCTTCTATATTTTATTATAAACTATAACATGATTTATGCTCTCTGTTATTAAGCAGTGGTAAAAAGAAAAGTCTGTAATTAGCATGTTTGGAAACCTAATGGATATTATTTCCTTCTGCGATTTTTGGGTGACAAACCCTTAAGGCTTAATTCTTTTTCTGTTCCTAATGGTCAATAAAGTAAACTTTATCTCAAGCATTTCTAAACTACACTTGAGCCCTGTCACCTTCATTCCATAGCAATTGGTCAAGCATTTATCTGGCTTTCTTCTCATGTTCACCAATGACAAATATTGATATACTTGTGAAATATATCGGATGAAAAGATGTATCTGTATGAATCTCAGAAATTTGTAACACTAGGCAGCAAGATGGTGTCTTTGGGGAGAAAATGCCCCAGGATTCTAATAGGAGAACAAGTACAGGATGAGATCTGAGTGTGAAATTCAAATTAAGAGCAGTCCATGGAGAGATGAATTAAGGGTTTTTCAGATTTTAGTCTCAATGGAATGAGTTTTGCAAAGAAATTAATTTTATTCTTTGCATTGAAAGAAGTAAGAAATGAACATCAAGGTAGAAAATAGTTCTTCTCAATTTGTATCTAATCAAATTACATATGGACTATTGTGTTCAGATGATTAAGAGGCTCATTGACAAACTGGAAAATATACATAGGAGAGTAATCAATAATATGAAGGATCCAGAAACCATAGCTGATAAGAAACTGAGGATGTTAAGCTTTAGGGAAATCGTGACCATCATCTTCAAATGATAAAAAAAATAAATCACTATGTATTGTTGTTACTACTACAAAGAATAACATTTAAAACAACTATGTGTCAAATACGGTGCTAAGTACTTTCACCCATGTGATATCACTTCATTATAGCCCAAAGAGTTAGGTATCAAGATCTCCATTTTACAGTCGTCTGTTAAAGTTCACAAAACTAATCATAGCGGAGGTAGGATTAAAACACATTTCCCCTGGTTCCAAATTCTGAGCTCATACCATGTGGGTCTAGAGAAGAGAGATGGGACAAATTGGTAAACATTAGAAGACAAATAGTTCAGTTCCAAACAGTTAAAGAACAGAGTAGTTTCTTATTCATCTGTCTATTTTCTGGACCTAACAGAGTGCCTGGAACTTTGTAGTTACTTAATAAATACATGCCTGGGAGGTCATAAAGAAGATACACTACTATCAGAGTTGATCAAATATTTTAGCAGAGGCTGGATTCCCAATCATTTATTAGGCATGTTATACATGCAATTCATATATAAATTTGGAAGTTGAAATAAAAGTCTTCAAACATTAAGATTAAGTTTTCTAATATATTTTTTCAAGTATTTGTTTAAATACTGAAAGTGAAATCTTATACATGTTTCAGCATGCTCAAACAACCCCTATTTATTAAGAAATAAACAAACCATAAAAGGCCCTGGAAAAAAATTTTCAATAAGGGTGATTGACTTTCTGCAATGATACTAAGGAGTTAGATTTCTTAAATAGATATATACCTTCCCCATCTGTTCTCAATTCTTATTTAGTTACTTCTCATTAGAGGGAAGTATAAATAATATACTTAAATCTGGAAGGATTATTCTAATATATGTGTGAAATATAAAATAGTGGGCTGGGAGAGTGTGGTGGACAGTCTCTCATGTGGCCCCCCTATTATTCCTACCTCCTGCTATTCATGCATTTGTATAATCCCCTCCTGTTGTGTGGGAACTATGATTTGCATCTAACCAATGAAATAAGGCAAAGGTGAGAGGATGTCATTCTTATGATTACATTATACCATATAGATTCCCCTTGCTGGCATGATGAACTAAATGACCATGTTGGGAGGGGGGTGGGAGGATGGGTTAGCCCGGTGATGGGTATTCAGGAGGGCACATACTGCATGGAGCACTGGGTGTTATACAAAAACAATGAATCATGGAACACTACATCAAAAACTAATGATGTACTGTATGGGGACTAATATAATAAAATTAAATTTAAAAATAAAAATAAAATAAATAAATAAATAGATAACCGACCATGTTGGGAAAATCCTTGTGACAATTCTCCTGTGGAGGCCTCTATGAGCTGGGACTAAGGTTAGTCTCCAGTCAAAAAGCTGAGTCCCTCAGTTTTACAGTCAATAGGAAGTTAAATCTGCTGAAACTCTGAGTCTGGAAATGGCTTCTTCCCAGTTAAGCCACCAGACGAGAACACAACACAGTCTGCCCTTGATTGCAGCATTACGAGACCCTAAGTAGAGAATCCATCTAAGCTGTGTGGATTTCTGACCCACAGAAACTATGAGATAATAAGTTAATATGAGTTGTCTTGAGTTTGTGGCAAATTGTTATACAACAATGGAAAACTAAGGCAGTAAGACAATAGTCCAGGCAAGAAACTATGCAATCCTGAACTGCGGTGGGGACACAGGAATGAAATACAGATGTATGAATCACCCTTTGGAGGTAAAAATAATTGGCTTAATATTGAATGACTACTGAATGCTAAGTATAACCCAAGTCAGAGGTAACCCCATGGTTCTGAGCCTTTATGACAGAAAGAATAACAATGCCAAAATCTGAAAAGAGAAATACCAGGCATGTAAAAGCACCATAAGGACCTTCTCAGTGCTTAGACAATGACCTTCACGTCAGAAAGCTGTGGTGTGCCCAGTCCAAGAAATAAAGGAATTCTAAAACTAGTTATTTGGTATCTAGGCTTCAAATTATCTCTTTCCAGACTTTGTTCTTCTAACTGAAACTATTAATTGTCTAGACAGGCTTTCTTCTTGTGTGTCCTGTGAAAACCTTCACAGGTCTCCATCGCCAATCCCCTGATCTCTGTCGAGTATCTGTTCCAAGCTGAATCCCAGCTTTGTCTCCTCCTTCTGGTCATGAACCAGGCCATTATCCCAAAAAGGATTTTTGTTTTGTTTTATGAGGGAAAATGAGTTCAGATGTGATAAACCCTGAGAGAACCTCCCTACAAATGGTTGCCATTAGGAATAGAGTGTCAGAGAAAGACCAGAGTAGAAAGCAAGGCAAAGGGATCATTCAGGTAGGAAGCTGTGATTGAAATTGTGTGATCATTGAAAGAAAGTGTAAGAAGAAGGCTGAAAACAGAACTGTCTGGAGCACCTTTATAATGGAGGAGTTAGAAAATGACAGGAGAACTAGCCATTTCAATTTTCATTTTACAAGACCAAAGTTTTACAAAGTCATAGCATATGAAAGTGGAGGAAGCATGAGGCAGAAAATACTCAAAAGCTGGAAAATGGGAGAGCAGAAAAATGGATTCTGTAGGAGACAATGAAAATGGGGACACTTAAAAATATATTACCACATTATTTGACACTTAGGAGGTCACTGGTGACTTCTAATAAGATTTCAAGGACTTAGATAATTCTTGTGAAATGGTGCGGAGGCCATACTTTGAGAAGTAGAAGAGTGAATAAAAGGTAAGACTCCTTATCCGGTATCAAGGACAAGATGAAGGGTAATAAATGAATACACTAAACCAGAGGTTTTATCTATTATCTCCCCTACTCCTCACCCTGTAAGGTGGGTATATAAGTCCTGCTTTAAAAATGAGGGTACCAAGTCTCCAAAAGTTGACTTGTCCAAGGTTATAGAGCTAGTAAATGGCAGAGCCAAGGCTAGGACCAAGTCCATTTGGATTTAGAGCCTCTGCCATATCTCTCTCCCCAGATCAACTTCCTGAAAGATGAACCCAAACATCAGTCACATGGTAAAACAGAAATATCAATAATAGGCCTGATCTAATAAAGAAAGATACCATCATAGAAATAAGAGATGTAATGTGTCCTTTTATTGAGGGAGGATAAAGAAACTAATAATATATGTCAATCAGGGTGAAAGTTCTAATGCCATGATTAATAATCACAACAGGTCACAATAATTTAGCATAGCACTTACCACATACCACATACCACATACTGTTCTAAACTCTTTTATGGACATTAACCCATTAAATCCTCATTAATACCCTTTGTTATAGGGACTCTTATAATCTCTATCTTTGAGAAGAGGAAACTGAAGATGGGAGAGGTCAGGCCAACTTTCCTAAGGTTAAACCAACCATAATGGCAAAACCAAGGTTTAAACCCAAGCATTCTATCTCCTAGGTCCATGTTCTTAATTCTCTACTGTAGAGCACATTAAGTGACCAGGATATAAACCCATATTTCTATGACCCCAAAGCTCATGTTCTCTTCAGTGTATCACAGGGATTACAAGCCATATAGACAGAGGCAGAATCGCAAAGAAGTCTTTCTAGAACATCTTAGCTTCAAGAGAAAAACAGGTGTGTCTGGCCATTCAACAGATGTCATTAACAGAAGTGGGAGATCTGTCACCTAGTCCCAGAACAGCTAACTATCTAATTTAAGACCATCTCAGCTGGAGCAAAGGTTTAAGCTTTTGCCCTTTGCCTGAGTTGTCAACTAGAGTATCAGAGAAAGCATAACTCACATCTTTTACACACAGAAAACGAGTAAACACAGGATTGAATTTTAATCCTGCGCTGGAGATGGTGAATAATTTGGAGTCATAAATCCTGGGCAGCCAGAGTGCACTGAGTACATAGTAACATCAATTTTCAAGTACGTACAAGAAGTGGAAGAAATCAGAGACTAGAAATAGAGTGGACAATATGTATGGGGAAAAAAAATAGCACAGCTAGAAAAAGCAGTGATTCTGGACCAAAACAGTAGAAGCCAATTGATGAATAGCCATCAGGTAGCTCTTGCAAGGCCTGTGATTGGATTCACTGGTCCTAAGTACATTTATTTTTGTACCCATACTTGGATGTGACTAGTCTGGTGGCAGGAAAGGGAAAGGGAAACCAGTGTGGCCTGTACTTCTAATAGAAACCAAGGGGAAAAAATAAGACTTCCATTGTGAATAGAGGCAAACACATTGTCCTTTTAGATCTATGAATGGCTTAACCTCCATTATTTAGCCAGTTGCTTTCTTTTTTTTTTTTTTTAAGATTTATTTATTTATTTGAGAGCGAGAGAGAGAGAGAGCAGGTTCAGGGGCAGGGGAAGAGGGAGAGAGAGAACCTCAAGCAGACTCCCTCGTTGCAGGGAAAGGGACATGGGCTCGCCCTCACAACTTTGAGATCATGACCTGAACCAAAACCAAGAGTCAGACACTTAACGAACTGAGCCACCCAGGTGCCACCATTTGCTTTCTTTAATCAAACATACTCTCGTTCTTTGTTAAAATGAGGTAGCTCTGAAAAAAATAGCTCCCAAAGACTGAACAGGACAAGTCATCTGTCAACTACAACTACTAAATACTGTGCCTCACTGGCAACTGTTCCAAATTGCAAGCAAGCCTAGAAAGAGTGTTTAAATCATAACAGGAGTTTCTAAACAATTCATTAACTGAATTACCATAATAATATTCACTTATGGAAGCAACTTTAGTTCTGCTTAATTGTTCAATTAACATTTTTATATGCTGAAAAAGAATAATAGCATTTAACTAATAATGTATGTTCTAAAATGAAATATGACCTAGCTAGATTATCAACATAGCCCAAATTTACTTCACTTTATACCATGATGCTTGTCAAATATTTTATGTTTGAATGCTGGAAAGTCTTCCAAGTTATCAGGGCCAAAATCAAGGAGAAAAGGCTCAACACAATGTGAAAAGAAAGTGAATACCTCATCTTTTCCTGTGAGCAAAGTATTTTCCAGAATTACTCCTGTCTCTGAAACTAGAACTTTGATTCGGTATTGGTTAATGATTCCATTCGGTTGTTGTGGTTTCTTCCAAGTAATTCTTATTTGTGTAGCTTCTACTTCTGCAAGTTGTAAATCAAATATTGCACCTGGAACTAAAAAAAAAAAAAAATGAATAAGGAGGGAAGAATTTAAAAGTATATTTTTAAATTTTAAAAATTCCCTAAATGCTTAACTCACCATTTAAGATTTGTAAGAAAGTCTATTAGACTAAAACGATTTACTATTTATTAACAATTAAATATGTATAAGATTCTTTAAATATATAGATAAAGTTAAGTTTCTACAGATTGTTCTCAAAAATGTAAATAAGAAACAGGATAACATGGAGTAATTTCCTCAAATCAAAATGTCATAATATTTGTTTGAAACAAATTCATTAATCAAAATAACTTCCCAGAGAAAGCTGTTTAGGGATGATTAATGCCCAGTAGAAACCTTGAAAGCTTTATAAAATTATAACAACATATCAAAAAATAATATCCAGAAGACTTTGTATGAAATGAAATGTAGTTGGTAAATTCAACTTGGTTGTCTTTCAACTTATGACATGAGATTGCTTGAAGAGTTGATTGATTTTGGTCTGCTGATTTTACAAATGAATTATGTGAGTCTCTAATTTCAGGTACCCTTACTCTTTTCAGTAATAAGGAGAAGCAGAAACAAACTAACAACTGGTTTACAATAAAGCACCAAGTACTTACATAAATTCTAGTTAGAAAGTGACCAAGAGTGACATCCGGTAAACCTCCCAGTACCACAGGAGTGGTAATAATGGATCAAGGATAAACATGCCCTGGGCTTTTGTTTATAGCTAGTGTGATTATGAATAGCCAATTAACCCCTCCCCTAAGTTTGCTAATCTATAAAATGGGTAAAATTATATTATTCTTATTACTATGCAAGGTTACCATAAGGAACCTTGAATGAAATTCTCAAGAAAGAAAATAATATAACTACTTATGATCAAGATGTAATAAAACATCAAATTCATTTCCCTAAGCTATTTCATATCATTTAGAACAGAGGCACTTTAGGGATATAATATAAATAGAGAATGACCCTTTTCCCTTTTAAGATAACAGAAAGGAATTGAAAATTAATGTCACAACTCTTGTAAATATTATTTAAAATTACTTAACATAATTACGTTTACCTTAACCATATAGGAAACTGTATGGAGTTCTCATTCCATAGACTGAGTTTTTTTCTTTGTCTCTATGAAGTAACCACTTAAAAAGCCCCCTCGATACTGTAACAATACAAATATTTCTAAATGTTTTTAAATAGTTAATGGCTAGATGAATGAATGAGTCATTCTTGCCTAAGATTTTCATTCCTACTGCAGCCAAGATTTTCATGTCCAGCACGTAGTAACACCTGTGCTCAAAATTGGGATATAAACATGAAAGTACAACTGTAACTTGCTAATTCTTTAAATTTCCTTTTCTAAAAACATTACAACATTTCTTTATATAGAAGGATAACTCTTTAGATTGATCTCTCCACACAGAACTTCTAATCTGAAGGAAAAACAGTTTGACCTTTGAAGGGTGGAGGAAGAGTCCTAGACTAGGACCCCATAATTGTTGATTCACTCCTTCATAATTCAGCAGACTGAGCCCTCATCTTTTGGTCATTATTCTAGGCACTTGAGGATTGAGTGAGAAAAAAGATAGATAAAAACCTTTTGCACAGGTTACCTCTTGTATAAGTATATATAAAATATATATTGTCCCTAACATATATTTGTCCTTATGTTTTTATCATATTTACCAACACACATATTTTCAAAGGCAGAGCAACTTTCCATAGTAAAGCTCCCATTCCACCTTTCTTCTACATTTTATTTTAGAGTTGCTATGTAAACAAAGCCTTGGCCAGTATTGTATAACATAATTCATGGAAGAGATCTGGCATTTTTCCATTTAATTTGAACTTGTGTAGAACCTCAATTGAAGAAACAAATTTAATGACTACATTGATCAGATTAACAGGTAAGGAAATGCTGCCTACCAAAAAAATAAGTAAAGTGTCACTTCCATTTGATATAACACACTAGTGGAATACCAAAAACTACCCAGTACAGCAAAAAAGAAAAAAAAGGTGTGTATATGTGTGTGTGTATATATATATTTTTTCTACTGTCCCTTATTTAATCAAAGAGAAGAATAAATCTTCTAATTTACAAGATTTCCAATATAACTTAATAAGTATTGCTCTATGACACAATGCCTTTTTAAATTACAGTTCAAGTAAAGATTAAGTGGTTCTATATTACGCTAAAAATGTATCCCAAACCTGTATAAGAACAACTGTAAAGCTATCTCTCTCTCTCTTTTTCTTCAATGAAAGAAAAAAAGCTTGAGGGATAAAGGAAAAGACTCCATTTGTCCTTGTTCTTGTCCTTAGAAAGATACTTGATCTGTTACACCACAAATTCTTATGAGGAAACCAGAGAAGTATGGATTAAATCAAACTCCTTTAATATCGATACCAAATTAACTAAAGAAAATCAAATACACAAGGAAATTATTCATGGCTCAGCATCAATTCTGAGGTGTTGTCCACAGGGATTACCTAAGAATCATTCTCAAGTCAATACATCTATAAATTTTATTAATAAATGAAAAACAGAATAGACATATAAAGGATAAATATTGTTCCAAATGATTTTAAGCTTTCAAATGAAAAAGTATTAGAAAAAATAAAATGGAAACAAATGGTACTGGGGCAAAAAAAAAATACATTAAAATAAATTTTGCCATTATGTAGGGTGCCTGGATGGCTCAGTTGGTTGAGCATATGACCCTTGGTTTCGGCTCAGGTCCCAAACTCAGGGCCATGATCTCAGGGTTGTGAGATCGAGCCCTGTGTTGGGCTCTGTGCTCAGCGGGGAGTCTGCTTATGGTTCTCTCTCTCCCTCTGCCCCTCCCCTGGCTCTTTCTCTCTCTCTCTCTCTCAAGTAAATAAATCTTTTTAAAAATAAAATAAAATAAATTTTGCCATTGTCTAGCAAATTAAATTAATGTATTAAATTTTTTTAAAGATTTTATTTGTCAGAGAGAGCACAAGCAAAGGAAGCAGCAGGCAGAGGGAGAAGAGGCTCCCTACTGAGCAAAGAGCCTGATGTGGGACTCGATCCCAGGACCCTGGGATCATGACCTGAGCTGAAGGCAGATGCTTAACCAACTGAGCCACCCAGGCATCCCTAATTTATTAAATTTTAATTAAATTAAATTAATTTTGAAAAAAATCTATTGACAAAAGTCATCGAGAACCCTGAAAAGTTGAGTCTCCCAGTGATTTCCCTACAAAAGATTTTTCTATTTGCAGAAAGTAGCAAGTTGAAGGACAAAAGTCTTCACTTCCATAGTCTGTTTATGGAAGAATAAATATGGATTTCAATACTCTGCTTTAAGAAATTATGTTAACCTTCTTATGAGATATTTGATACTAGTGACAGAAAAGTTATTAGGGGATATTGAAGCAACAAAGTTTTACTTAAGATTTGTTTAACCCCCCATGCAAATAATAAGAAAATGCCGGTGCCTATGTTATAATACAATAGCACCGTCTCATTTTACGATAGGCAGCTCCATGACACTTTGTAACACTGGAAATTATTAAATTATCATTGTTTTCCAAAACCATCTCTTCTTCATACCTATGTGGAAATCTGTTCAGTAAAATATTAACGCATATATGAGAATCTTATGAAATGTATAGGAATACTGCCATAACAACATGATGTTGATTTTCATTGATGATCAAAGTAGGCTATGGACCATAACATCTTTAGTGTTAATGAAATCAGCCCCGTATTACCATAGTAGCATATAACATTGTCTATAAGAGGTCAATTCAAGATTTTTCTATGAATATCTGTAGATTTGTTAGAACACCAGTTGTTCTAACATAACATAATAAAATAAAATTTAAAAAAAACACCAGTTGTTTTAAAAGAACATTAATTTAAAAATTGGTCCTAGTGCATTTTTAAATAGACTATAGTCTACTTTTAAATATGGAGAAGAAAATAAATTGTGTAGCCTTAATTAGAATACAAAGAACCTTGCTGCATTAATAAATTAAAAAGAATAGTCTAAAATTAAGATCTCAATTTTAACTGAAAGTATATACTTCTAGTACATTATTAGATTGTTCTCATATAGTTTAAAGATCCTCTATTGCAAAGTTTTAATTAGCAGGACTAGGACCAATTAGTGTTATCAGAAGTTGAAAGCTACATTTACTGCATTTGCCAGAGCATTTCACTGAAGCCCTTTCTAAGTCTGAACTACCGCAAGAGAACTCCATGGAGGAAGGTTGGCACGCAGAGATAAGGACCATGCCATTTCTGCCCTTAGTGGAGCCCACCTGCTGCCAATGGAACCCCCTGAGAGCCACCTGGATATGGTCAGGAGGGTAGTAAGATAAAACTGAGGATAAGTTGTTTATTACATAAGGCAAAGAGAGTCATTTGTTCAAATTAATTTTGTGAGAAAAATAAGCCATGTGAAATATATTGAACAACGTCCTTAAAATTTTATTTATTATTTTGTGAATAAAGAAAAATGCAAAAATAAAGGGGGATGAACTCTTTAAATGATGTCCAAAATCAACAGCATGACATCATATGTGGCAATATATTACCTATTTCCCTATTTTTGTCAAATGCTAGATGTTTGAATAATAGAATAATGACAATAAAACAATAATCTTAGATTGCAGATTCAGTTTAGGGGTGCCAAAACTGGCTTGATTTTAAGGAAGACAAAAATTCTGTATTTATTTAACTGTATAACATAAGAATAAAAATTAGTTGGTCAATCAAGTTGTTTGAGAAAATGCTATTAAAATCAAACTCAAGGACTCTAATCTGATGAGGGCCAGGTCACTCTGCTGTTTTTGGTAGCCATTCATAAAGCTGTCTAGCTTTCTAAGAAATGCTTAAGAGCATTTATTAGGTGAAGGGGAGATTTAAGGTGTAATGGAAAAGACATGCAAAGCTAAGATTCGTCTGACAGAAATACAATGGAAAAATATTAATATGAAAAAAATGAGAATATTTTTGCTTGTAAGTATACATCTCTTCCTTAATCTGTGTTTGAAATCATATACATATCAGCATTTTCATTTGAAATTGATATAAAACATAATTTTTTCATTCTTTAAACAGCAAAGTATTACCACGGTTGTTTTTTGAAGGGGACTACAAAATTCCCTAATAGTTGCTGCCCTCTAATGGTCAAATACTTGAGTGATTTCTCTGATGAACGTATGCAATTGTATGTGCATGTGTGCACTTGCACACATGTGTGTATTTAATTTACAAGTTACTGTATGCTAGCTATCACACAAAATCTGGAAACTTTTCCAAATGTTAATGTACTTGTAATAAAATTGTGATCTTCTCAAATAATTGCAATCCCTAAGTAAAAATGAAGACATTTTAGCAAGTTTGATGTGGGCCACGAAAATATGCAGTGAGACAATGAGGGAACATTTTTCAAACATCTAAAACTGTGATGTTTAATACATGCAAACAAAAACTTTCTTTAGGAGAGCTATTGTTTTAATTATTTTGGGATGTGCTGGTAAATTTGTATTATGCACCCTCTAGGAATCCTCACTTACTTAAAATACCCTTTTGTTTACAAACATATTTTGTTAGAGGCATTGGGGATATATGGATTCGCCTAAACATCATTCTGTGAGAAAAATCTATTCTACATTGAACAATGTGAGTCAAATGATGTTAAATGTGTTTATTTGTTTCCTTTGACCTCATGAGGTTTTGCCAGTCTTCACTGTGAGTCACAAACAGACTGATACTACATGTAGTACTTCCTAATCTTGCTTGATCTCCAGTTCCTCTATCAAGCATGCTGCTGGGTTTAATGTTCTGAGGAACACATGTTTGGAATGCATTAGGTAGTAATCTGATAAAGAAATAGCATGAATTAAATAAATACAAACCAAATAGGTTCTAATATAATGTCTAACCAATGCAATAAAATCCACAAGCAGAGTAAAATATCTTATGAACAAACTGAAGAAGATGTTCTAACCTTCTGGAGGAGTGAATACTGAAATATTTGATTTGGGTCCAATGCCTGCACTGGTCTCAGTTGCAACATATACATCATACACCGTAAATGGTGTTAGGTTAGTGAATGCAAACTTAAGGTCTTTCGTGCTATTATCCAAAATCCGACCTGCAGAAACCAAAAGATACCATAGATTATTTTCTCATTAGGCATTAAATCATTCTCACATTTAAGTACAGAGCCAAGAATAGCAATTAATGTTTGTTATTACAATTTTAAAACATTATAATTACAATTATTACAAGTTTCAAACATTTACCTTAGTGGTTCATTGGTATCAGGTTAATTAAAACAATGGAAACAACATGAAAATCTTCTAGTATTCAAAATAATTTATTAAATCATAAAGCCCTATCCAATTACCGTGTTATTTTTTGACATTTTTTTAAAAAGAAAACATTAGATTTTGGCTAATATTAAAATAGTGACAGTATTTTATACATAAATTTAGTTAATTAAAATGCTAAATATTTTCATTATCTTCTATAAAAAGACATATTTAGAAAATATTTGTAGTTCAGCTTCTGAGCAAAACTCCTTAAATAGTCCATCATCAAAATTCTTTTAATCCTCAACTTTACCTCTGAATACTTCTTTCTTCCTTTGCTGTAGCTGAAACCTGGCTCTCCCCTAAAAACACGGCTTCTGTTCCCTGCGGCCACCCCAAATGATCTAATTTTTCCCACTGTCATCAAGTGACGAGGCCTTCAGGTATAGTATGTGTTCCAACCCACCTCCTTCTTTACAAAAGCTCACAGCTTTCAATCTCATGTCATGGACGGCCTCCACCAGTCCTCCTTGTTGCTGTGTTTGATCTTCTAGGCCCATGGTCACTCACCCTTACTCTGGATGATGTAGTGCCTGCTTCAATGTCACTGTCTTCAGTGCTACCATCTTAATTTGTGGTGATTTCAGGATCCCTAGACTTGATCCTTAAAACACTCCCAGCTCTCCTCAAATAATCTAATCCACCACCCTATCTCAGCCACTCCCATAGACATCACTATTACCAGTAATTGCGAATCTTCCATGACCTCAGTTTTGTGCAACTCTCTCTGACTATTCCTTCTTATCTCCTGTTCACTTATTCTAGAACCCTGAAGCAACAATTCTTTAAGTTCATTGGGATCTCTAATCCGTTGATCTTATGAACTATTTTATTCTGCTTGGTTTGGTCCCTCACCACTCGGTTTCCACTCCTTATCCAGCCTCAATGGCACTGTCAATTATAATCACTACATTTACGTAAGCCTTCCATTCCATTGCCCTCCTCTTGTTGAAGGGAGCTGGAGAAAAACACAAATCCACTTTGATTGATATCACTTTATTCAATACCACACCTCAAAGGAGCCCCAAATTTTGCCTAGCTCCATACTCAACTTCCGTGACCCAATCATTCTCTACTCTTCTGGTTGATTTTTTTTCATAGAACCATAGGATCTCAGATTAGGAAAGAATTTTAGAGTTTACTTAATTGACATCCAGCAATAATATTTGAACCCCTCAAAATATCTGACAAGGGGATGTCCAGGTCCTGCTTACTCACAAAGATGGAGAACTTGCTACATTATGAAGTTGCCTATATTATTTTTAGAGAGCTCCAATTATTAGAAATGCATTCCTGGTTCTAAGCAGAGATTTGATCTAACTGAAGTCCATTGTTCTTCATAAATATATTTGCAATTAAGTCAAGGTCCTCCTGTTCAAACATTTGAAGACACGTATGTCCTCTAACACTTTTCTTCTTAGGAGTTATCTCATTCTTTCAGCTTCTCCTCATGTAAATATGGAACATGGACAATGTTTTGCCATCCGTATACTTATTTATGATTTTAAACAAAAAGTCCAAAGAGCCTCACCTCCCTTATTGCTTTTCTATTATCTGCTTCAATTGTAGGATCTTATAAAGAAAAGAGCATGGTATTTTTAAGGCGTTTGATAATACTAACATATTTTGCATAATTCTTACTCCAAAAGGTAAACACAAAACTGATTGAGACTTACCTGATGGTCCATATAATTCAACTCTGTAACTAAATTTCCCTGTCACTACAGTAGGTGGGTCCCATGAAATTGAAAAGGACTTCCCTGTAATGTTGCCTGTTATACAGTTTTGTGGTGGTCCTTCAGGCACTAAAATGGTTATTAAAAAAAATGAATAAATAATATATACTTAAAATAAATGAGCATCTTATTAAATACACACAATAAAACACAAAGTCAGAAAGAAAATAAAATATCACACTATGAGCAAAGGGTTTTTTAATTTTACAAAAAAGGAAAAATGAACGAATTGAAGAATTTAAATAAGACATGATGGATCATCAGATGAACTACTTATTTGCAACAGTTACTAATTTAATTTAATGTTGTATATGACTGCACAGGGTGTTTCATTTCATTCCAATATTGTTCCTTGCACAGTTACATTGTCTTGATAACACACTTATATATTGAATTCAACCAGGCCTGGGCATCTGACTTGAAAAACACTCTCCCCCTGGTGGACACAGGTAGAAGGGTCAGGGAATTAACTTGACCTACATTACCTTATTGGCAAAGATCTTCACTTTCTGCATCAATATTTGTATTTGGTTCTGAGAGGAAATTTATAACCTATAGTTAGAAGATTCTAATGTAACATTGGTAACATATAAAAAATAATGACATTTTTGATGTAATGTATGGTGATTAACACAACAATAAAAAATTTTTAAAAAAACGGCATGCTCAAAAAAAAATGACATTTAAAAATAGTCTACTTTTCACAAGTGTGTTCCTACATTTTACTTTCTTTTGATTGAAATGAAATATTCCAAATATTTTTCTCAAGTAACTGTATAAGAAGTATTGAAGGAGGAAATGGTATGATTCAAAGATGACTATTTAAATCAAGAAAAAACTTCAAACGTAATGTGATGAAATGATAAAAGCTGACAGCTATGTCATCAGAAAAAAAAATACTGTGCTTTAGGGAAATTACCCTACCAGTAGTAATTTCCAGTAACCTCAAAAATTACCAATCACAAGTGACTGTCTGATACTACATATTTAATATGGTATTGTGTCAGTAACTACATAAATTTACATGTATATATAATACTATAATCCCATAATTAAATATATAAACACCCATAGCTAGAAATGTGTAGTCTTCAAATTTAGTAGTAATAATATCTAATTATACTCATTGAATCCTAACACCACCACCATAAGGGAGGTACTATAGCTGTCTCCATTTTTCTCATAGGGAAACCCAGTGCCAAGAGGAGATAAATAGGTATATTTTTTAAGTACTATTTTTGTCTAATATTAAAATGTGAATCACATATTTCTGCCACTAAGGGTGTTACTTCCACATTTGGTTATAACAGTATCAGTGAGAGGAAGCTGTAGATGATTATAGGATAAGGAGAAGGGCAGAGATGATTAAGAAAAATTGCTCAGATCAAAGAACAATAAAAGCTGTTCATAGGATCATGGTTATTAGCTCAAGAATCCATTCTTTCAAATCTCCTTTCTCTTTTTAGATGTTTATGTCAGTATTGTAAAAGAGTACTGAAATTAAAGATGCCCCAGATGATATGCCCATGATCTATTATTGGGGGGAAATGTTATTGGAAGGGAAAGAAAGTTTTAACAAAAATATCTACATGGAAAAAATGAAAGATTATTATATAACTAATTTAATTCTTTGTTTTTTCGACCTATACAAAAAATGAAACCATACCTGATTCTGGTGTTCTGACAATTGTACTATCAATATAACCTGCTTCAGTTGTAACAGCAGAAACTTCAAAAAGATACGTTGTATAAGGTCTCAAATGTGTCACTACAAAACTGATAGGCTCTTTCCACACAGAGCTTATCTTACTCCTCGCCAACGTGCTTGACGAATATGTCGTACGTGATGGAGGTGTAACTCTACCAAGGGTTGGAGAAGGGCTGGTTGTACTCCATAAAAAAGATTCATTATTCTCCTAGTAAATAAAATAAATAGCAATAGAAAAATAATGTGGTATCTCTTGATGAACATGAGAAGTGTAATTCATTTATTTTTCCTTTATAGCATAAATATTATTCTTAAATTTATGTGTATGTGTATGATTCATTAAGATTTTAATAGATTATCTATTCAAGTTATGGACAAATTTGCTGGAACTTAATTATACCCATTTATGTTTACAGTGTTAGAACAGAATATATTTATTGCATTCTTTATACCTTCATATTTCTTACGAATAGGACTTCAAAAGGCTTAGAATAAAGGTAAAGTGACAGCAAAATCATTGGTAAGAATTTTTAAAATTCATGTTAAAAGTGCAAGAACCAAAGAGATAAACTATTTTCTCTTTTGTGAAATTTCAAGCATAAGTCACTTTCTCACTGGTACTATCATTTTTTTCCTCATAAATACTCAAATGATAAAACCAATTGTACATATATGCAAGTATGTATGTTAGTGTGTGTATTAAAAATACAGCCTAATTTTAAAAAGAAGGTTTTAAGACTTTAATAACTTACCATATTTAAAACAAAAGTAATATTGTTTGTTTTTCCATCAAATCACAAAGATCATCTAGATTATTTTTGGAAAAGCATTATTATGGTACTTCCAGGGATTTCCCATAAATGATTAGAGTCATAAATTCTTCACCAAAAATATGTACAACAAAAACAATCTACTTCCACAAACATAATTTGACTGCTGCCTTCCCTACCCCTCCTGTCATGTGGAAATATTATCTTTTTTCCAGTGATATTCTATACTTTCCTATTTCAGGTCTTTTTATAAAATATCTTCCACCCAAAATACTCCCCTCACATGATCTGCCCTGCCGTTACACCAAGGCCAATCCAACGTCCATTAACAAATGCTACTCCTTTCATGAAGTCTCTTCAGAGCTCCCTGTGAGATTTTTCTATCTCTTGAATTCTCAAACCTTTATCTTATTCTACCTTGAATACAGTCAATTGTGTATAACATGATACTATAACTGAACACTATAAGGAATGAAACAGCTAATAACCACTGAGGTTAAAAAAGTTTCCAGATACTGGAAACTTCAAGTTATAAGCTCACAACTAAAATTTCTGAGACACAGAAAGTGTTCCATAATACTTACATTACATTCTGGCATTTTCCCAGTCAAAATGTCTTCTACTCCGATGGAGACATCTTTCACTACTGTTCCACTTCTGGCATGTTTCACACTAATCTTGAAGCTGGTAATTTTGCCATTTGGTTGCCGAGGTAAATACCAAATCAGGTTTACTGCCGAATAGTTAAAGGCCTCAACTGTGAGATTCACCACTTTTCCTGGAGCTGGGGACAGAGATTGAAGGAAAGGAAAAAACACTGATATAAAATTTAGAATGGCACTTATATAATGTTGAGATGTTATATTTCTCATGTCATATAAAATTAAATGTACTCTGTTAGAAAAAAATCTACTTGGGTGAGACTTTTTGAAATATATTTAATTAATTTTGCCTAAGATAAAAAACTGGAATTTGAGCCCACAGAGTTGTGTTTAAGAGGCAAATAAGTTTTACTTTAGGATTATTTGTCTAAAGGATCCATTGGTGAACTATTTCAAATAAATCTGAAAAATATCCAGTCAACAGTTATTTGCGAATATACAAACAAATTTGAATAACAAATCCTCTCCTAAAATATTTTGGAATTATGTAGATTGCTTAGATAATGAAGAAGTGGCAAACTGAAACAATTATCCAACCAACGTAAATATCTAGTGTCTAATATAAAGTGAATAGCACCCAACTGGTTGTGGTTATTATATTTTGAGTTTTATACAACCTCAAAATCAACTTTCATCAGAATTCATGATACTTTATTATCAATTATTGATAAACCACAATAACAATCTATATGCTGGGGGTACCTGGGTGGCTCAGTTGGGTGGGGATCTGCCTTCGACTCAGGTCATGATCCCAGGGTCCTAGGATGGAGGCCCATGTAGGGCTCCCTGCTCAGCGGGAAGCCTGCTTCTCCCTCTCCCACTCCCCCTGCTTGTGTTCCCTCTCTTGCTGTGTCTCTCTCTGTCAAATAAATAAATAAAATCTTTTTAAAAAAATCTATATGCTATTTTAGCTGAGATGAGACAAACATGAAGCCGGAATGAAAATTATGCCCACTAATTTCAAAGTAAGTTATGCAAAACTGACAAAGTAGAGTAAATAATCAAGATCCTTCAGAATATAGAACATGACAAATCACTATTGAGAGAAATAAAAACAAAACAGGATGTCTGTGGTAAAACAAAATAAGTGATAACAGAGGTGCCTACTATTAAGATACTGAATAATTAGAGTTTAAATGCACATTGTAGGGAAGAATACCAAAATATGATTTGTAAATGAAAGCCATATAAGTTACATAAGGTACTTAGGTTGTGGGAAAGAGGTTGTATATGAGTTAAACCAGAGAAACTAGGAAACTTAAGGACAGCTGCATTTTAATGGGAAAAAATAAAACAATTTGGAAGGATGATTAATCATTAATAATGGATAGAACGATGGATGGAACTTTTTTTCTCCAAGGAAAACTCATCAACGTAATTAATTAAAGCTTAAGAAGGACAATGACAATATAACTGTCTGACACTGAAGATTTAATATTTGAATTTCTTTTGGATGGATAAAATATAATAAAGCAAAATATTAAAATGTTAAATATATGATGCTATGAAATTATGAGTTAAAATTCTTATCATGAATCTCTTTTTAAAACTGAATATATTTGGCATATAACTGTATAAATTTAATGTGTGGGGCGCCTGGGTGGCTCAGTCAGTTAAGCATCAGTCAGTTAAGCGTCTGCCTTCGGCTCAGGTCATGATCCGGGAGTCCTGGGATCAAGTTCCGCGTAGGGCTTCCTGCTCAGTGGAGAGTCTGCTTCTCCCTCTGCCCCTCATACTGCTCATACTCTCTCTCTCAAATAAATAAAATATTTAAAAATAAAATAAAATAAATGTAAGATGTATGAGGTGTGAATTTGATACATTTCCATATTGTATTATGACTGCTATTATAGTAATATTTAGTACTTCTATCATATTACATAATTATAATATCACATTACATAACTATAATATTGCATTGTTATCTATATTCATCATACTGTGCACCAGATCTCTATGGCTTATTTATTACCTGAGGCAAGTTTGTACCCATAAACAACATCGGTCTTATTCTCTGTCCTCTATCCTCTGGTGACCAACATTTTACTCTCTTCATGAATCCCAATCACTCTTTTAAATTTCTTATTTGTGTAAACTATACAAATCTTTATAAGTATGCCTGATACACACACACACACACACACACACAAATTAAATATATACATACAAAAAAACAAATGCAATTTGTTTTCTAAACATTTTCAAATAAGCCTCAAAAATAGTCACAGGGAACTACTCAAGTATAGAGAAATTTGAATTTATAAGGTAACCAAAACTTTATTAAATTCATGATCTCAAAATATTTAAAAAGTGACCAGAAATATTAAATACATAGAAAGTAATTAAATATGTTGGGGTACCTGGGTGGCTCAGTCAATTAGTTAAAGCATCTGCCTTCAGCTCAGGTCATGATCCCAGTATCCTGGGATCAGATGGAGCCCCGCTCCTGAGATTGAGCTCTTCTGGAGCCCCCTGTAGAGCCCCCTGTCGGTCTCCCTGCTCAGCAGTCTGCTTCTCCCTCTCTCTCTGCCCCTACCCCTGCTCATGCTCTCTGTCTCAGATAAATGAATATTTTTTAAAAAGAAAGTAATTAAATATGTTAAATAACATTTAGTGAAAAAATGGTATTTTTATTAACTTGCTTTAATAATTTTTGTCTCAATTAAATATTTCTGCTTTTATTTTCCGTTTATGACTTCATTATGTCTGAAGAATAATCCTGGCTCTTTTCTGTAGTTGGTAGGTCTTTCCCTACTTTAAATATTCTAGTTTCTACTACTGGCCTTTTATGTACCAAAACCCATTATTTGTTGATGTTCATAGAGTGAACTTATCCATCTTGATCCAAGTAAAGGTTTGACACTGTGGTATCAAAAATTTCTGTTTATAAAGTCATTTCATCTTTCAGATAAGTGTCTTCCAACACTTTGAGGATATATCTAGACTAGTGACATGCATAAATTTGTATAGGTATGTGAAGGTGTCTACGACTTTTCAAAGTGTACACTCTGCAAAGTATACATTTATTGAGCCAGAAAGAAACTTCATAAATCCAATATAGAGACTTTTCCTACATTTCTAAAGATCCATCAAGTTGAAAATGGAGGTGCATTCTAAGATCTTAAAGCCAAAATAAATTTTATGTTTACCTGAAATAATGCTGCATGGGAAGTTAAGAAGTTGAGATCTTTGTGCTTGTGGATGCAACATCAACTCAGTATGGCATAAATAGTTAACCTGTATACTCTTCCCAAGAGTATTTTTATTCATGGGAAAAGAAATTCCTTCTGATTTAACAATAAAAAATGCAGCTTATTTATTCCATTGAACTATTCCTTAAATTTGTGTTCTTTATAGCATAAGTAATAAAAAGGGGCACTTGGGTGAAAACTGCAGAACACTGATACAATTAAATTTATATTTACATTATGTTTTTACCTCTTTACATTTACCAAAAAAAAAAAAAGTCAATATAGGGGCAAGAGAAATTATATAATTATCCGATATGCCCAAAAACACACAATAAATGAGAAGACAAAACTTTTCATGTCATTCAAAAGTTATTCCAATTAACTTCCCTAAAACTTAAAAACATAGGTAATAAATTTTTATTTTATACCCTAATGAATATTTAATTTTCAAATGATAATTTTCCCACTTGAATTTTAAGTCGTACAAATAATTTGAAAGTCAGTATGCTCAAAATCAAAAAGAGTAATTTAAACCTCATAAATCATTAATTTCTAATTTTAAATAAACTCCTGAATTTTTTCTAACTTCTTATGGAACAGAGCATGTTTTCATATGATTCTCTAGATAAAGTCTCAAATAGAAACTAGGCCACAAAGCTTGATGCATGTTTTTTAACATGAGCCATTACATTATCCTCTCTAGATACACAGGGCCCATTTCAATTTATCCCTTTGGCATAAAGTGGTTCACTGGAAGATTTTTATCTTTTTAAATATGTAAAACATTTATAGTTGCAAAAAATTATGGAAATTCTTTTTATAGCAGTTATCAGTAACCTGACATATTACTTAGTAACTCATGTATCTTAGCCCACAAGAATGTAAGTTCCACAGAAAATACCTGTTGTTGAATGGAGATGCCATTATTTATTTAATCATACTGCATTTATTGGTTCTAACTTTTTGCTATTATAAGTAAATAGAGGAATTATTAAATAAATAAAAGCACCTCCAATCATTAACTTATTTTTATCATAAAGCTTATGTTCTACTAGGCTGATATATACAATAAAAAACAGGCAAGTAAATATGTAACATATCAGGCTGGTCCAATGAAGAAAAATAATTTGTTAGGACTAGAGATGGACTGGAGGAAATAGAGGCTATTTTACAAGGTGTAGTTAGGAAAGTAATGTGAGATTTGAATTAACTAGGGGAGAGAGACATGCGGATATTTAGTGAAAAAGTATTCCAGTTAGAGGAAACAGCAAGTGCAAAGGTCCTTTGATGGAAGATAGGTATGGATGGTGTATTTGGAGGGAGGGGAGAATGTCAGAGATGGATCAGAGAGGGAAAAGAACATCCAGAGTGCTATGGACCATGGGAAGGACTTACTGTCTAAGTAAGATAGGAGCCCTATTAGGAAGAGAGAAGCAGGGGCACCGGGGTGGCTCCGTCGTTAAGCATCTGCCTTTGGCTCAGGTCATGGTCCCAGGGTCATGGGATCGAGCCCCATATTGGGCTCCCTGCTCCACAGGAAGCCTGCTTCTCCCTCTCCCACTCCCCCTGCTTGTGTTCCCTCTCTTGCTGTGTCTCTCTCTGTCAAATAAATAAATAAACTCTTAAAAAAAAAAAAAAAAGGAAAGAGAGAAGCAATATGGTCTGGCTTATGTTTCAAAAGATGACGTTTCTTATGTGGAGAAAGGGAACTGTAGGCAGGTAAGCTGGAAACAGGAAAACCAGTAAGGAGACTTTCAATTGTTCAGGCAAGAAGTGATAATAGATTAGAGTGATTTGCAATTAGGGTGAGATTCAGGATGCATTCTGATGTAGTGCTGGCACAATTTGCTGGTAGAGTATACTATGAGAGGCATCAATGGTACATCAGGCTCTTTCCTCTCCACCACTGAAAGAAGGGAGGTATCTTAAATTGGTTTGATAACGACTATATGTTATGGAATAATATAACTATAAAATCTATATTTCCAAAAGTCTAATGTCATAAAAGTGTGTATGATTTGGTATTAACAGGAAAAAGCAGGCTATAAACTTGCATAATTGGCATAAGGCTACTTTCATGAATATATAGTCATATAGACACATATTCATGGGAGAAAAAAAGGACCAGCCAGGAGTGCACCAAAATGGTAACAGAGTTTTTATATGACAAGGCCATGGATAATTTTTACTGTCTGTTTCTTATTTTTTCAAAGTTTTTTTTAAGATAACACCTACTGCTTTCATAATCATAGAGAAAAATATATAATTTTAATGAATAACTATTCAAGAAGACTCTAAAAGTAATTGAATGGCCATGCTTTTGAAGATTCTATGGATTTTAAAACCATTATCTGGTTTATATGCCTATTTATTTTAAATGACAAAAACTCATAATTAAGTTGGAACAAATGATTTAGGCAAATTACCACTTTCTGCAGTTTGGAAAAGAAATGGGTCACTAAACACTCCAATACCAGCGCTGTTTTCAGCAGCAACCTAAAACAGACCAAAAGAATTATGTTCAAACTTTTTACTCTCTAATTAAACAGAATCTGAAATAATAAAATTTTGACTTGTTGATAAGTCAAATGATAAAGACACTTTTCCCTTAATTCCTGCAATACTCCCAAAGTAGAAAGCACACATGTAGCTATTCCTTATTTCCATTATCCCTAAGGGTATATTTGCAGCCTTTTGATTCAACAGATTTCTTCAATTCCTAATGGAAAAATTAAGGCAAGTTTTATAGTCAATTAGTAGTATTAATAGTAACAGTTATTATTTATGGGCAACTTTTACGTACCAGGAAATCTCCTAGAAATTTTATGTATCTCATTTTATCCACATTATCAAAGCATAAAGTGTTTTGATCAGAATTTTATAGATGAGGAAACTCGTTGAGTAAAGTCAAGTAACTTGCCTGAGTCATACAGGAATTCCAGAATTCCACTGAAGTCATGCTTATTTCTAAAGCTCAACCTCTTTCCATTATATTCACTTCATGCCAGACACTATGACTATTTCTGTAACAAATACGAAACCATATATATGGTATCTGGCTTTAGAGTTTACAATCTAATCAGTCAAATACATACTCAAGAAAACAATTTTAAAAATAAGCTTAATCAGTTAGACTAAGTATTCTGAATTTAAAAGACAGAAAAATTATTTTTGACGCAGATAGCCTAGTCAAATAGACTAGAATAGGCAGAGAAATGTCATTATTGAGATTAAGACTCTTAACGCTCTTCCAAATGCCATAACTGGCGTCTGAAAACCTTAGTTTAAATTGAACTCCACCAACTCCTAAATGAGTAGTTGTAGGCAATTTACTGGTCCTAGTTTAAGTCACCTTTTCCTTCTCTTTAAAATGCGAATAATGATACATCTATGTCATAGAATTGTTCTAAGGACTAAATGAAATAACACATGTAAAGTACTTTTTTCCCCCAGATTATATAGATTAGATATCTACATTTGAGGATATCAAATGTACTGCACGAAATACCCTTTGGAATTCTGCAATGGCTAACATTTATTTGAACAGCGTAAAGGTCACAACAATGATTTATAAAGTGTGGGATTAAAAGAAGAATAAGGGCTTCCCAACAGGCCTGAAATAAGAGAATTCAAAGGAATAAAAATTCAAACTCCATAAAAATAGATCTAAGCAGAACTAGGTTAGCTAAATTACCTTTCTGTCTGTAACAGCTTCTTATCACATTAAAATTTAATCTTTACATATTACCTTCAATAGTATATTTTAACATATAAACTAATCTAAATATGGCCTGTTGACAGAAAATAAGTATACTATGCCATTTTTATGTGTCAGTTAGAAAATGTCTCCTACTCTTTACCCATGTTTCTGTAATGAAATAGCCATCATGAATCTTTGACTTTGACTTTTGCATCAGTAAAAATTTCCTTTTAACTGTTCTCATATGGGGGATCCCTACTATAGGGAAGCTCTCTAATTCTTACTGTGTGCTCTGCTTTCACAAATAGGCATGCTTCCAATAAGGAAACCCCCACACCAGGCAAATTCTCTCTTTCCCATCATTTCTTACCATCCAGAAAGCCATCTCAGTTATGTCTTATCACATATTTATACAGCTTTTATAGATTTTTTTTCTCTATATTCAATTATCTTAAAAGCTCAAAGAACATATCGATGTTATGTTGAAAATAGAAAGGATCAAAAAGATATCTGTATCTTTTACTATACTCCGGAAATATCACAAATATATCTTAATTGTAAACATTTTCATATGGCCTAATTTAGGACTACTTTTTATATGCTCTTCTTTAGTTTCTAAATAAGATGTTTAATTTTGCATATTAAACATTGTAAAGAACTAAAAATTTTTATAAACACAAAAGACACAATAAATGTTCAGGAAACACTTATTGAATGGAACTGAATTGAATTCATTGTTCTCCGAAAAGCTGGCTCAATAGAAACTTTCATACCATTATTCAAATTTTGATAACAGACACACAAATACAATAGGATTAAGAGAAAAATAAAGATAACTTAAAGGTTAATGAAAAAGTAGAATATATTTACTTATAAAGCCTAAATTATGTAATTTAAACTTGATTTATTCTTTGAAAAAGTTGCTGTTAAATGTTTTTAAAATAAATAAATTATATAAATACACCTAAAAATGAAAAGAGATTACAACAGTTGTTCAAATTTTAAGAGCCCAGATGGGCCCTGAGGTCATGACTCAGATGATCATTCTTCAATCACTTGGCTGTGTTCAGCTTTAAAGGCTGGTGGGAAAATCTCCTTCACTTTCAAAATTAATACTAAGCATTAATATGAAGTACTTAATACTAAATATTAACAAAATATTACCTTGATTTCATATGTTGTTCCAGGATTAAGATTAGTAAGAAGAACTTCCAGACCGTCTGGCTTTGTTCTAACTTGTGTGTATTCTGTTTGCATCCATGGACAAACTTCCTTATATTTAACAATGTAAGATATAATCCTTCCATTTGGATTAGGTGGTGTATTCCAAGACAGAAGAATCCCGGCAGATCCAACTCTTTCTCCTGCTAGGAAGACTGGAGGCCCTGGTTCTATTTAAAAAAAAAAAAAAAAAAAAAAGTTAATAAAAGGTCAAACAATTATTGTATTTTCACAATCATAAATAAGAAAGTTTTTACAAATGTAGACTTTTGAAGTTCCCAAAGACTAATGGTCTCTCAAATGTGACTTTATCCTCCCTAGAGCTTTGCTACCAAAAGAAAAAAAAAGATTAAATGCTTTGGGGGATACCAGAAACATTCTTTTATAAGAATGTAAAAAATGGAATGCTACCACATACTACATGCCAAATACACTTTTGATGCCAGATCATTTTTAAGAGAAACTTATTTGTGCAAAGCTTACACATAAAACTAAGAAAGCAAGAACACAGTGTTACAAACTAAATAATTCTTCCTGAGCAAGTGTAGTGAGTCCATTTTCATGACTCTCTATTATTTAAATATTACCATTAGTCATCTCTCTGATCCATTTCACAAACAAGTACAATTATCTTTACTCTCTGAAAGTCAAGAAAGCTAAAAAACCATTAGAACACAGGTCCTAAAGATATCACTTTCTTAAGTTTCCATTTTGCTTTAATTACTAACCTGTTTTCGTGTATATAAGGCACATGGTGCTAATATAAGTATTTCCATCCAATAGATTTATACTAGCTGCAAATACTTCATTAAAAATACTTCATAAAAAAAGGAAACATATACTCACTTGTTACATTGGTTGTCACTGTTCTACTAACAGGTGAGCTGTATGTTGTAGCAGAAATAGAAGAGATGGTTACATCGTACCTAGTACCAGGAACAGCATTGGAAACATCAACCTAGAACACCAAAAACAAATAATTACGTTAAAACTCTTTCTGGAAAACAAGAAAGCTAAAACAATAAATCTATCACAACAACAAAATAAAGTAACATCTCACACAATAACTCTGCACTGTTTAAAATATTCCAAGTTCCATATTATTGCAAAATATAATAAATTTGTTCTATCACATAACTATTTACCAAGTAACAGATAATAAAAACTTATAAAACATACTGTGTTATCAAAAACTAAATCAGTATTTCAAACGCTCTAGCTTGTTGTCACAAGAAACAACTATTTGAGTCTTAAGAAATCTACAGCCCATTGCTTAACATTCTTAGGAGTATATATGAAATACCTGTGTCTCTGAAGTTCCAATAAAAAGTAAAAGAAAAATGATAAGAAAATCCATCATTATTACATTTTTCAGGCAGTGGAATCACATTGATGGCTCTAGAGAGAAATGTTGCCTGCATTAATGATTTAAAGACAGATCCTCCTGGCAAGTACACAATTAATGAGACTGGATTACTCAATAGCTCTGCCCTTTCTTTGTTAAACTATTCATGAACCCTTGGATGGCTGGCTGTAGGTTCGGGGTAAGACTTAAGAAAAAAAAAAGGCATAGACGTTGCTAAGGTAACAGTCCACCCATGCTGAAACTCATGCTCATCAATTCAGCATCAGTGTTTTTGTCTTCATTTTATGCTTTTAAAAACTCTCAAAGGAGTTAAGTGTTCATGGTGAATGATTTTCATAAAGAACTTTCCTATGAGGACCAAATATAAACACAAGTTGGCTCGGCAAGTATGACAATGAAAACTATACCTGATACTCTCCACCTCCAAGATCTTTGATAGTAACAAAGCCACTGTCAGGAACAAGATCCACATGAAACCTTTCCACATGGCCAGAGGGCAGGCTCCAGTACAGAGAAAAGGAATGTGTGGAAATATTGAAGGTTTTAAGTTTCTCAGGTTTTTCTGGTTCTGATATTGAAAAATAGAGGTTTGAAATAGAGTTATTCTCTTAAATATTCAAAGAAAAAATGAAAATCAATAATCTGTCAAATTTAAATATAACCACATTGTTAAAAAGCACTGAGTCCTTTAAATTATCTCTGGTCACACAATGGTGTTAGGCATCTAAATCTTTAATAGTTACTAGTTTTTAAATATAATTATCAGAAATGATATTTCAATTTATGTATCTGTTTCTGGGATATTCTTTACCTGCTAAAATCTGTTGGTTGTCCAAATTGTTTTTTTCCTTTAAATTTTTTCATTGTTATGTTAATCACCATACATTACATCATCAGTTTTTGATGTAGTGTTCCATGATTCATTGTTTGTGCATAACACCCAGTGCTCCACGCAGAACGTGCCCTCTTTAATACCCATCACCAGGCTAACTCATCCCCCCACCCCCCTCCCCTCTAGAACCCTCAGTTTGTTTTTCAGAGTCCATTGTCTCTCATGGTTCGTCTCCCCCTCCAATTTCCCCCCCTTCATTCTTCCCCTCCTGCTATCTTCTTCTTCTTCTTTTTTTTTCTTAACATATATTGCATTATTTGTTTCAGAGGTACAGATCTGTGATTCAACAGTCTTGCACAATGCACAGTGCTCACTATAGCACATATCCTTCCCAATGTCTATCATCCAGCTACCCCATCCCTCCCACCCCACCCCCACTCCAGCAACCCTCAGTTTGTTTCCTGAGATTAAGAATTCCTCATATCAGTGAGGTCATACGATACATGTCTTTCTCTGATTGACTTATTTCACTTAGCATAACACCCTCCAGTTCCATCCACGTCATTGCAAATGGCAAGATCTCATTCCTTTTGATGGCTGCGTAATATTCCATTGTATATATATATACCACATCTTCTTTATCCATTCATCTATCAATGGACATCTTGGCTCTTTCCACAGTTTGGCTATTATGGACATTGCTGCTATAAACATCGGGGTGCACATACCCCTTCAGATCCCTACAGCCCAAATTGTTTTTTAAAGCTTATGCTCTAATTGAAAACTTGAATCATTTTAAGCAAATTACTTAAGTCCAAACTATTGATCCAATTACCTGGATATTTTAACCAAGCAGAAGATAATTGGAAAAAAAATATTACTATCATCTGCCAAATTTTTTTAAAGGGTGAGAATTTCTGATGAATATTTACTCAGGTGTCTCCTTAAAAGAAAAGCTGTTTTCATCTAGGAAGTGAACTACGATAGCTTTTAAACAGTAATTTAAGTATTTATTTTAAGTATTAATTGTCCTAGCCACTTCAACCATATTTTTCTACCTTTGCTTCCACTGTTCCCAGAGTTTTGTTTATGCTGCCTGTACCTCCTTGAAGGGAGTTTTCTACATAAAGTTCTTCTGACTGGTTGCCAATGAGTCAGATTTTCACTCTGCCTTATCTTTAGTGCAGATTCCAGAAAAACAATATAGGGGGAGGAAGAGAGATTATGAAGCCAAGCATGCAAAAAAAATACCTGATAAAGACCAAATCTAATACCATTTCAAAAAAAAAAAGGACTATGAAATTAATTATTTAACTCTGCTTATCATTTTCAAGTCCATCTATCAGAGATGATTTCAAATGGATATAATAAAAAAAATGAAATACACATTTCCTAGCAAAACTGATAGGGCCATGGCATAAAATAGAAACCTTAAGAGGTCAATTTCTCACATTTGGGCAGGTGAGAGATACTTTTAGAGTAGTCTTTCTTTACCTTCTTTGAAAATTTCCTTTAATGCTTATAATGCTTCCCTAGTAACTGAGGCAGGTATTGATCAATTAATTTCCACCATGACATTCTCAAAGATACAACAAACAGTCTCTTGGCATCATCTCCAAACTGTCCGTGTAGGGAAAACTGTAGTCTTATAATAACTCCTTAGAATACTGTAAGCCCAGGGGTGCCTGGGGGGTTCAGTCGTTAAGCACCTGCTTCTGGCTCAGGTCATGATCCCAGGATCCTGGGATCGAGCCCCGCATTGGGCTCCCTGCTCCATGGGAAGCCTGCTTCTCTCTCTCCCATTCCCCCTGCTTGTGTATCTGCTCTCGCTGTGTCTCTCTCTGTCAAAAAAATAAATAAAATCTTTAAAAAATAAAATAAAATAGAATACTGTAAACCCAAGGTAAAAAGATCAGAGGAATACCCAGTTTGCATGGGTAGAATTCCTTTGTTGTGCATAGCTGCTGGCATTTTTTCCTCCATCATTCTGCACACAGACCTATGTCCTCTGTATTCCCAAGCTTCAGAGAAAAGAGCTTGGTTCTTCTCACCGGCCCACATTAAAATAGGCAGAAGTCTAACATGACAAAAGTCCAACCAATTACTATTCAGGCTGACTGATTTATGTGAGGGCTAATACTATGTATTTCCTCAAAGATCCTGGAAAGTAACTAATATCCATGAAATCTTAGGCAAGAAACTGGAAAAAGACCTGGATGAAACTATGGAAGAAAAAAAAAGATAAGAGAAGTGAAGGTCTGCTTACTGGGATGGTGGTGAGATAGGATGTAGTTTCCCAGACTGTGGTTTAAGATTACATGCTGAAGGACTCTTGGCTAAGGATGAAGCATGTCTCACCACGGAGAGGAAGAATATATTTGTCTGGAAATCTGCCAATCTGATCAAGAGAGAAGGCCTGGAAGCTTCAACACAATTTGGTAAAGACTTTTCAAAGCAGAGTGAATAGAAGCCCTGGAAATGGACAGAATTTAGTGTAACTGAGAAAGGCCAGCCTGAGTTTCTGGAATCAAGTAAGAAAGAAGAAGTCTGATGATTATGCAGGCCATAATAAAGATGTTAGCTTTTTACCCCCCTAAATACAATGGAAAACTATAGAATTTGAAAAGGAAAACAAAGTGATTTTTAATTATTATTTTAAAAGATTACTTTGAAATGGTATATGAATGGCATAAGATTTGAAGAGAAGCAAAAATGGCAATGAGAGGCCAATTAGTAGGATATTGTGGTAGTCTGGACAGAGAGAAAGGAGGCTTGTCCTTAGAAAAAGGTAGTAGAGATGGAGCAATGCTTATGTCATTGTAGAAGAGGGCAGATTCCTGGATATGAGCTGGAAGATTCAATTAACTGAAAGTAAATGCCATAATAATATATGATTTGTACCTCATGGAATATAATCTCGCAAAAGGTGGGAAAATATGAAGCAAAAATATTACTCTCAACCAAATTGTTACTAACCAATAAAAATCAAATTGTGAGATGGATGTGTTTGGAGTTTTAAGAGAATATCACATTGTGTTCAATTTAATTAGGGATAGCAAACAGAATTCTAGGCTTAGTTACATATTTCTTTTTAGACTAGAATTTCTAAAGCTAGTCCTCAGAACCCTAAATCCTTAGAGTTTAATAGATGTTCTATGATTAAGCCACTGTCAATAACTTCTTTTTTAAGTTAAACAGCTTTCTTTATTGCAGGATATCTCAGAGACTTAAATGTGCTTAATTGTCTCGTGATTCTATAAAGCAGCGGTGTCCAAAAAAATATGTGAGCCACATTAGAAAGGTAAAAATAAACATGTAAAATTAATCCAATAATACATTTTAGTTAACCCAATATATCAAAAACATCATTTTACATATAGTCAATATAACATTATTAATGAGCCAATTCCCTGTCTTTCATACTGTCTCTGAAATCCTATGTCTTTCACACTTACAGCACAGCTGAATTTGGACTGGCCACATCTTAAAACTCAGCAGTCATAGATTGCTAATCACTACATACTGGACAGTATAGCCTTAAAAAATCTCTCAACTTTCCCCTTGGCATTTTGGTAAATTTACCTAAACTGCATTTTGAGAAACCGAAAAAAAAAAAAAAAAACAAATATAATCCAACGATCGATGTCTATAAAGAAAAAAAGTTCAAAAGAACTAGGAGGACCTCAAAAACAAAATTCTGATACAAACTATGGTCTATTAACCTTTAAGAAAGAGAGTAAGAAGAGATTCAAAATGGAAGAACGGGCTACACAGGGAACTCCTCAGTAGATTCCGACTCAAAAGAGTATACATACACGAAGTGAGAACAAAATGTTACATACCTTGGAATATCCACAAAAAAGCTCCACATACTTATCAAAACACTATCAAGAAAACAAAAGCCAGCTATTTTAAAATAAAATGAGAAGACTTAAAAAGTTTCCATTACCACTATTATTAACTTTTATTTATACTTCCTACGTACCAACACTGTATATAATAAGCTTTGCCTATCACATTTAAATCCTTCCATGATTAAATCATAGGCTGGGCATAATATATACTATGATTGAGGAGATACTCATGCATAAGACACGCAAAATTATAACTAATACGTACTGAGTTTATGATACCGTATACACTGTGCTAGTACTTTCAC